ACCCGCTCGTGGGGCATGTCCACCTGACGGGCAGCGAGGAGACTGCAACCGCGGTCCGCGCGTCGCTCGACCGCGCCGGCCGCCCGCACGTTGGCATCACGTCGGAGCTCGGCTGCGCCACGCCGTGGCTCGTCTCGCCGGGCGCGTGGAGCGGCGAGGAGCTGCGGCACGCGGCCACCCTGATTGCTACGGCCAAAAAGGGGAACGGGGGGTGCAACTGCCTCAGCGCGCAGGTCGTCGTCGTCGCGCGCGACTGGCCGCAGCGCGGTGAGTTCCTCTCCCTCCTCACCGCCACGATCGCCGCGCAGCCAACCGTCCCGGCCTACTACCCCGGCGCCCACAAGCGCCGCGCCGCCCTCGGCGCCCTCTACGGCGCACGCGCCTCGCCCGTTGTCGGCGCCTCCCTGCCGCACACGCGCCTCACCGCCGAGGACGAGGTGCCGCCGGTCGGACTCGAGTCACGTCTCGGCTACACCCGGGCTAGACCTCGGTGACCTCCTCCCTGTAGGTGCTGCTCCTTGACTGCGGCGTGGCGGGCGAGGCGAGCTTCGACGGGGCGGCGCTGCGCACCGAGGCCTTTTGCCCGGCCCTCGCCGTCGTGCAGCTGCCCGGCGGCGCGCGAGGCCCCGCACCGCAGCGCGCCACGACCCCCACCACCCAGCTGCCCGCAGCCCGCACGCGACCGCCGCCCTCCGCTCCGGCGCAGGCGCCGACCCGGGCGAGTACCTCTGCGGCGCGGCGGTCCCCTTTGTCAACTCGGACGCGTGCCTCGGCTCCCTCTCTTGCTCCATCCTCGCCCCGGCCTCCGCGCCGGCGCAGAGCGTCAACGCTGCGGTCGCCGCCCTCAAGTATGGCGCCGTCGGCGTCAACGCCTGGTCGGTGCTCGGCTACATGGCCTCCTGCCGCGGAGGCACGTGGGGCGCCCACCCGGTGTGCGCGGATGAGAGGGACCCTCGCGCGCGCCGGCGGCGCTTCGCTTGGCGCGGCTGTGCGCTGACGGCCCTCCTCTGGACGCCCGCCCCACGCAGGACAGGCCTCGCTCGGGCCTCGGGCGGATCGGCAACGCGTTTGGCGTCGCGCACGCCTTCAAGTCGGTCGTGCGCGGGCCGCCCCTCTCGACGGCGCCCTTCATGGACGCGGCCAAGGCGCCGCCGCCCCTCCTCCTCGACGCGCTGCACGCGGCGCTGTGTGCGCCCTCCGCCGCCCGCGGTGCCGGCCGCCTGCTCGGCGTGCTGCTGCTCCGCATGGGACAGGCCGTCCTCGCCGCCCTCGGCCTCGCGCCCCGCATCCGGTACGGCGCGGCGCTGTGAAGTGGCTAATAATAAAAAGGCGCGAGGTTCGTGTTCGCAACGCGCTTTCGTCGAGCCTTGTGTGCGCCTTGTGAGCGGGCATGTGTGCTCTTGACCCAGGGAGTGTCCAAGGCCCTGAGACGGTCAAACTCTGAGACGAGTTGTCACCTGGGGGGGCCGTCGATCAAGATCGCAGCACGTCCGACAGTAATATGCCGAACCTGATGCCGACTTCGTGTGATAAAAAAAACACTCCTCGTGGGCGCCGCGCGCTATACCTATAGTGTACACAAGGGAAGGCGCGTGCGGGTGCTCGCGTCCACCCACACCCCGTTGGTGTCCAGTCCGAGCCTGGCTGTTCTTCACCGTCGATACACACATACATGCAGTTTTTGATGCCGCTGGCGGAGAGACGGGCATGCGCGCGCAGCACATTCGGTACGTTGCGCGTGTATAATGTCAGGGCGGATGGTTGACTGATCGCGCGTCTCGCCGAAGTTGGAGTTAGTTTTCTCATCGCGGTGACATTTTTTTCTTTTTTAGGGCTTGACTGGGCGGCGGGTTGAGATACAGCAGGCTTCGGTGTATATGCCGCGGCCAGCTTTACTCCTCGTGTGCCTAGCCACTGCGGGCGGAGATCAACCTGCCGAGGCCACGGAAACGATTGCAGTGCCGTCGGCTGGTATTTTGCAGTCGGCTTTTCTCGGCGATGCAGAAGCGGTTCTGGCGTGGCTCGTCGGTGGTGGCCGGGTCAATGAGGGCTTCGACGGTGGTGAGAGGGACGGCGTGACTCTGCTGATGGGCGCCGCCGTCAACGGTCACGAGCGGGTGGTCGACATTCTGCTGCAGCACAGTGCTGAGGTCAACCTGCAGGACGGACACGGCAGCACCGCGCTGATGCACGCCGCCATCGAAGGCCACGAGCGGGTGGTCGAGCTGCTGCTGCAGCGTGGGGTGGAGATCAACGTGCAGGACAGCAGAGGCGTCACCGCGCTGATGGGCGCTGCTCTCAACGGCCACGAGCGGGTGGTCGAGCTGCTGCTGCAGCGCGGCGCTCAAGTCAACCTGCAGAGCCGCATAGGTCGCACCGCGCTGATGCACGCTGCCAGAAAAGGCCACGAGCGGGTGGTCGAGCTTTTGATTCGGCACGGCGCTGAGGTCAACTCGCACGACAGCGACGGCGCCACCGCGCTGATGGCCGTAACTGGCAAAGGCCACGAACGGGTGGTCGAGTTGCTGCTGCAGCGTGGGGCGGAGATCAACAAGCAGAAGAGCGACGGCCGCACCGCGCTGATGCTCGCCGCCACCAACGGCCACGAGCGGGTGATCGACTTGCTGCTTCAGCGTGGCGCAGAGGTCAACCTGCAGGACAGCAATGACTGGACCGCGCTGATGGACGCTGCTCTCAAAGGCCACGAACGGGTGGTCGAGTTGCTGCTGGAGCGTGGCGCGGAGATCAACTTGCGGGACGGCCTCGGCCGCACCGCGCTGATGGACGCTGCTCTCACAGGCCACGAACGGGTGGTCGAGTTGCTGCTTCGGCGCGGCGCTCAAGTCAACCTGCAGAGCAGCCTCGGCGCCACCGCGCTGATGCTCGCCGCCATGCAAGGCAACGAGTGGGTGGTCGAGCTGCTGCTGCAGCGCGGCGCGGATATGCAGACGATCAGCGGGGATGGAAAGACTGCCATGACGCTGGCCAATGAGAAGGGCCACAGTGGGTGTGTTGCGGCCTTTAAAAGGCACCTCGAGGTTGCGAGTGGCGAGTCGACCATCCAAGTCAATGAGCAGATCGCGTTGGCGATTGCAGGAGGCGACGTGACACCGTGATGGCGTGGCTCGACGATGGGGGGCACGTCAACGCAACGTTCCCATCGGATACATATGTAAAAGATATTGCGCTGCTTATGATTGCCGCATCGAACGGCCACGAGCGGATGATCGACTTGCTGCTGGAGCGCGGCGCAGGTATCAACCAGCGGGACAGCGAAGGCGGCACCGCGCTGATGTATGCCGCCCAGAAGGGTCGCGAGCGGGCGACCGGCGTGCTGCTGCAACGCGGTGCAGAGATCGCCTTGCAGGACGACATCGACGGCAGCACCGCGCTAATTCACGCCGCTCGCGCGGGCCATGCGCAAGTGGCTGACATCCTGCTGCGGCACGGCGCGGAGGTCGACCAGCAACGACGACCACCCCCTTCGTCGAAGCACGCAGGCAACGGCACTGCGCTGTTGGCCGCCGCTTCAGCAGGCCACGATCAGACTGTTGAGACGCTGCTGCGGCACGGTGCTGAGATCGACCATCAGGACAGCAGCGGCGGCGCTGCCCTGATGATAGCCGCCATCAACGGCATGTTGACCACCGTCAACTTGCTGCTGCAGCGCGGGGCGCAGGCAAACCTTCTGGACAAGATCAACCAGAGCGCACTGTTGCGGGCCACCATGAAGGGCCATGAGCGCGTGGTCGACTCGCTGATAAGACACGGCGCGGAGGTCGACCTGCAGGTTTCACTCCGCGGCAGAGACGGCTTCACTCCGTTGATGATCGCCGCAAGTCTCAACTACCACACCATTGTACGCAAGCTGCTGCGAGCGGGCGCGGACACGACGGCGCGCGGTGCGAAATCAGGCAATACAGCGCAACAGATGGCCGAGAGGAGGGGTCACAAGGAGAGCTTACAGGCCTTCGAGGAGCACCGCATGGAGTGGTCTGTGATGGACCGGTTACTGTCGTATGGTGGAGCGCTCGTTGTGATCTATGCTTTGAACATCCTTCGGCGACTCTCTCAGCAGGGTCGGAGGCGCTCGCAAAGGCGCCAGCGGACGGGGGAGCGCGTCGTGGCCCTCCTGTCTTCCGACATGCGCCCGCTTCAGGCGATGCTAGCTGCTGCGGCTGGCTGCCTCCTGTCGGCGTGCGAGCTGCTGAAGCAGCATTTCGCCACTCTGCTCGCCGCTGCGCTCATGTCTTTGTTCTGCACTGCGGTGGAAGGCAACGTCATAGCAGTGGTGGAGGCAGGCATACTTGCATCCTGCTTGCACGTCCCACTCGCGAACGTCGTCCTCTTTTGTAACTACTTCATGCTCATCGTACGTAAGCTTCCCATCGGCAAACACGCTCCCGTCGGCACGCCCCCATCGGCAAACACGCTCGCCTGTGTGTTCTTCTTCTGGGCCTCCTTCATCCACATGACGCTTTGGGCAACTGCTCGGCTGCGAGGCGGTGCGAGAGCAGCGGAGCCGGCGCGCGGCCAGCAGCGCGGGCGGTCACGAAGGCGGGGAAGGGATGCGGCGGCGCCAGCGCCGGCGCTGGAGGCGGACGCTGATGCGGAGGCGGCGCGAGAGCGAGCCCGGTTCGAGGAACGGGCAAAGCAGGAGCAACGGGAGGCGGAAAAAGCGGCCAAGGACGCGAGGCGGCGAGAGGCGAACGAGGCCAACCGGCAGATGGCCAAGGCGCGAGAGGCGGCAGAGACCCTCCGGCGCCGGTGGAGCTGGGCGCCGACGAGGTGTGTGAGTTGAGCAGGAGCCGTTCCCTCGCTGCACCTCCCCACCCGCCTTGGCCAGCGCGCCTCTGTAGGTGCTCGGCGCGCTCGAGGCGGCGGTAGAGGTTGGGCGTGGCGGCTTTGGCGTTGTTTATGCCGTGGAGCTGCCCTCGCTACCAGGCTGGGGCCGCGTCGCCGTCAAGCGAGCCTTGTCTGGGGTGGATGCTCCGAAGGTGTTGGACGAGGTGTCCAGCTTGCGGAGGTGCGCGCATCGGAACGTGCTGCCGCTTCTCGGCTATTGCGGCTCGCCCCAGGCGGCTGGCATCGTGACGGCGCTCATGCGAGGCGGCTCGCTCGACGACCACCTCCTGCTCTCACCCGACGCGCGGGCGCGACTGCAGCAGCTCGGCTTCAAAGGCACTCCGGGGCTGTCGTGGTCGCAGCGACTGTCGGCTCTGTGCGACGCGGCGCGGGCGCTGGTGCACCTCCACTCGAACCTCATTCTCCACCGCGACGTCAAGACGGCCAACATCCTGCTCGACGGCGCGCTGCTGCCGCTGCAGACGGCGGGGGGCGAGAGGCGCGTCTACCCCGAGATCACCCGAGATTGCCCTAGATTGCTCTAGATCGCTCGAGAGCTCACTCCTTAGGCGCGTCTACCGCGCCTTCCTCTCCGATGTCGGTCTCGCCAAGGAGCGGGCGGGCGGGTCTATGACCGTGGCGACCAATGCTACAAGCACCATATACTCGACCGGGTTTGCGGACCCAAACTTCCTCGACTCGAACCAGCACTCGGCCAAGACGGACGCGTACGGGATCGGCATCTCGCTGTTGATGGCGTTGACGGGCGGCGAGCCCAGCGGCCTCAAGAGCGTCCACGAGGAGGACATCTGGGACATGGTGGACGGCAAGGAGGGCGCCGGCGGCGGGCTGCTGCGGGCGGCGCGGCAGGCGGCCGGTTGGCCTGAGGAGGCGACGCGAGAGCTGGTCATGGCTCTGCACGGGCTCGTCTACGAGCGTAAGGTGCGACGCCTGCCTCTGCCAGAGGCGCTGGCGGCGTTCGAGGCGGCGCTGCGCTTCGGCGGCGGCGCAGATGCGGGAGCAGCGGCCGCGGCGGCGCCGGCTACGGCCGAAAGACCGACATCGTCGGCTGGCGCCACATCTAGCGGGGCCTCGGCCAGCGGTGCCTCAGGCAGCGCTTCGTCGTCGTCTGGGGGCGGCTCTACCTCTGCGCCGGGCTCTCTGACGCGCGCGGTCGGCGGACTGGCAAAGGTCGCTGTGGCGGGCGGTGGCGACATGTCCTTGGCGCGGCTGCAGGAACGGATCAGCACGGCATACCTGGCTATGATGGGGCAGCTCGAGCGGCGGCACGAGCAGCGGGGAGGCGCGCCGTTGCCCAAGGGCTGCAGCGAGGAGGAGAAGATCAACGCGTTCGCGCCGCGCAGCGCCGGGCCGCTCTGCGACTCCGCGCACACCCTGCGGCGCTGGTACAATGCGTGATGAATGAGTGCGCGACACGCATGTTGCGAGCAGCGTTGTTGATGTTCTGCGCGTCGCCACAGACGGCGGCGCGTGAGAGCTGTTGCGAGTGGTGCTGGGCGAAGCCCCGGGCGCTGCACCTGCAGGAGGCTGTGCCGTAGTCGGTGCGGTCGACGGCGCTCGGGCTGCCAACCTCTTTGGCGAAGTTGAAGATGATTCTCTTGGTTGGCGGCGCGATGCCGCCCTGGCTTTCGACGAGACAAATCTTGACGATTCCGTTCTTGACATGGAGCGCGTCGCAGTACTGTCCCTTGTGCTCTTTGACCCAGCCTTTGCCGGTCGCATGGACGAGCGGGCCCTGTGACTTGTGGCCGCGCTCTTTGCACCCAAGAACCTTGAGCAAGGTTTGGTCGAGGGTGCCGCCGAAACCAAATTTGTGGCCCAGTGACGCACAGCATCCGCCGTGTGCCGCCGAGCCCTGCCCAGCCTGCCTCGTCTTTGTGAGCACTCGCTTGCTTTTTCGGAGGGCTACGAAGCCTTCACACTCCAAGGGCTGCTTTGTGAGAAGCCTTCACACTCCAAGGGCTGCTTTGTGAGACACTCGAAGACTGGGTAAGCAGTAGAGGTCGATACTCGACGCGTACCACATGGTCTGTGTCGCTGTCGGCACGCTGTCGACAGGACGTCGAGCGACACCGGTGGCAGTGCCACCCAGGAGCGGTCGGGCGGCCCGTCATGAGAGAGCCACCATGTGATCCGTATGATGATTCCTGACAACCGCTTCAGTCAACTTTCGTCACAGTTTCCGCTCTGAGAGGAGCTGCGGGTCAGTTCGACAGCTGGAGCTGTGTCGCCGGCGTGCGGCGGCCTGCCTCCGGAGGTGCCTCTGAGGTGGACATTTTTTGGTCACCGTGAGAGAACGCGTTCGAATTTTCACTCGGGAACTTCGACTTCGCACGCGCACCGGCCAGGGCTACAATAGTGCCAGTGAGGCGGAGGCGCGAGTCGGAAGGCCGCGACCGTGATTTGGTGCCTTCTTTTTTTTTTACAATCGCTGTGAACCCAGCCACGTATGGTGTACAACAGCGGTGTACAACAGCGGCGGTCCTACGCGCGCTACGGGGTACCGGTACACCTCAGACGCACGTACCTCCAGTGTGTGCGCGCTGTACGCGCAGATACGAGAGATAGCAGAGTCCAGAGAGGAGAGAGGGCCTTTAGGCGTTAGGAACGTGTGTCATGTGAGCACAGTGGTCCGCACAAAGAGCTCTCACAGAGGAGACGCTCGACGTTTACGACGAGGCCAAGTCCGTTAAGAGAGCTAAAACTACTTAGTTATTATAGTACAGTTGACATCAGCGTTCACCACTCCGAGAGGTCAGGCTGGGCTCAGAGATCAGAGTACGCACGTATGGCAAGATGAATGGAGGCTCTTGACGTCCCCATTAATCACTGCCGCCCGACCCATTTGTACAGGGCCACAAACAGCGTCTTTAAGTTGACGGGTTGGAGGGAATCCCCGCCCGTGCCGGGAACAGTTCGTCCGAGTCATGCGGGAGCCAGGTGTCCCAGCTCGCGTCAAATCCGAGGAAGCGCACCTTCGCCTTGCGTGCGCGGACCGCGATCACCTTGGCTTCCCACCTAGCAGTGGGGTGGTCTGGCGGCGCCCATGCCACCTCCACCGCCTCACCCTTGGTCCGCTTCGTCGAGCGCCACAATGCGGAGGGCCGCTCCTCGTAAGGGCGCAGCTGCGTGAGTGGCCTCCACTCGTCTTCACCCTCGTCCTCGTACCCGCGATAGCGCACGAGCACCAGCCCGTTGGCGGCGCTGAACGCCAGCGCGTCGGCCTGCCACCACGCGTGGCGCATCTCGTCCGCATTGTCGAGCTTGTTGTCGTCCGCCCACCCCTTGGCCTCGAGCCCGTCGCGCCCGCCCAGTAATGCTCGGTAGAGTGCCTGCCAGTCGCGCTGAACGCCGGGCAGGGCACCCTGGAGGCGAACCCGGCGGCTGAGCGCAGAGCACCAGAGCTGAGCGCGGTGCCGCGTGTACACCTCCAAGAGCGCAGCGCAGGCGGCGGCGCACGCCACGAAGCTGGCCGGCGGCGCGCTGGCTGCGAGGTGCTCGAGCACGAGGGCGTGTATCTCGGCGGGCAGACCCATCAGCCGCTGCACGCGCCGTCCGTGGATGAGGTTGTGCCTGGGCCGCGTCCTTGACGCCGTCGCTGGTTGTGCCTCTCTACTCCCTTCTACGGCTGCATTCGACATCTCGACCGTCTGGCGCCCCGCGTACTCGTCCTCCGCTGCATCGGTCGCAGCCGATGCCTCCGCGCCAAGATGGCGCGCGTACAGCAGCGCACCCTCCTGCGCCGTCGCGGCGTAACCGATGTACTGCTTTGCACCGCGCACCCATTTGTTCACGTTAAAGCCTCCCTTCGAGTTTGCGTACACGCCTTGGAACCCGGTGCTGGAGCGCGACGAGCGCACCAGTGTCAAGCCCTCTGCCGCCGCTGCCTGCTCCGCCTCCGCCGCCGTCATAGACTCGGCCGCCGCCCCTGCCGCCGCTGCCGCCGCTGCTGCGGACGCCACCGTTCCGAGCTTGCGCGCGTAAAGCAGCGCTCCCTCCTCCGCCGTCGCGGTGCAGCCAATATGCTGCGTTCTACCATCAACCCAGCGGCTCACCGCAAAGCCGTTGCCTTTCGAGATTGCGCACACGTTTTCGAACCCGCTTCTGGAGCGCGACGAGCGCACCAGTGTTAAGCCCTCTGCCGTCGCTGCCTGCTCCGCCTCCGCCGCCGTCATAGACTCGGCCGCCGCCCCTGCCGCCGCTGCCGCCGCCCCTGCCGCCGCTGCCGCCGCTGCTGCGGACGCCTCCGTTCCCAGCTTGCGCGCGTACAGCAGCGCTCCCTCCTCCGCCGTCGCGGTGCAGCCAATGTACTGCGTTCTACCATCAAGCTTGCGCATCACCCTAAAGCCTCTCCCCTTCGACCTTGCGTACACGCCTTCGAACCCGGTGCTGGAGCGCGACGAGCGCACCAGTGTCAAGCCCTCTGCCGTCGCTGCCTGCTCCGCCTCCGCCGCCATCATAGACTCGGCCGCCGCCCCTGCCGCCGCTGCTGCGGACGCCTCCGTTCCCAGCTCGCGCGCGTAAAGCAGCGCTCCCTCCTCCGCCGTCGCGGTGCAGCCCTCTGCCGCCGCTGCCTGCTCCGCCTCCGCCACCGTCATCTCGTGGTTGGCCACCAAACGCAGGGTTCGAGATGATTGGGGGTAGGGTAGGGCGCGGCGTAGAGGCTCAGCTACCACGTGGGACGTCCGTTACACGCCCAAATGGAGGGGTAGGGGGGTAGGGGGGTATAGGGGTCTCCACCCCCTGACTCCTCGAAAAAGAAAGAAAGAAAACAGACAACCCAAGGGAGGGATGGGAGGACGTCACGCCGCCACCACACAGGGATTTTAAGGAGAGGAGTGTGGTGCTAGCCGTCGCCCACCCTAACCCTTGGTCGTCTGCCTCTTTCTATATCTCCCTTCGCAGTCTTCCCTCCGTCCCTCGCCGATTCTCGCTGCAACCTTCATGCCACCTCGCGGTCGTCCCACTCTCGTCGTTCTCCCTCCTGTCGTCCTCGAACCCAGACACTCCGCGCATGGGATCGGGCCGGTTATTTCTTTTCGAGACGCGTTTCCCTCTACTCAGTAAAAACGAAACGGCAAGGAAGCAACCCGAGCGCTCGAGCATCTCTTGGACGCTATTTCGTGCTTAAACATAGCTCACACCGCGTCTGCACAAGCCGCCGATGGTGCGCTGCCGCCGCCGCCGCACAGCGTCTAGCACCAAGCCACCGATGGTCCAGCAGCCGATCCAGAAATCGCACAGGCTGTCACGCAAGGCGGCGCAGCGCCGCTGGGAGAGTCAGCCGTGGGAAGCCTGGGACTCGCCAGAGACGGCTGCGGGAGCTCCGAGCCCGTACGCCAACCTCAAGACAAAGTCGCAGCCGGCACCTCTGTATGTGGGCAACCGCAAGGCGCCAAAGCGCTTCCGCACTATGTGCCGAGCACAGCACAAGACGCCCTATGTGCTGAGCACAGTCACGCCAAGCAGCACAGACGGAGGCTCTGCTCTCACCGACGAAGAGGTCTTCTTTGAGGACGAGCAGGGCGGAGAGAGCGAGGAGGACAAGATCACCGCAAGGCGCTGCATCATCCGCGGAGCAAAGCTAGTAGATGCAGCCATTCGCAAGCGCAAGCGCGTTTTGGTCCACTGCTACGCCGGCCAGAACCGCAGCGCCTCCATCTGCGCGGCCTATTTCATCCTATACGCGGGGTGGACTCCCGGCAAAGCAATCAAGCACGTCCGCCACCGCGTCGAGGTTGCCCGAGAGGTGCTCGAGGTCATCGACAATGCTGTCTTTGAGCAGATCCTCAAGAAGCTCAAGCCAGGCAGCGGGAAGACGAAGTGAACACAGTTGCTTTGTCAGCTGACATTGATCATTGTCCACACACACAAAGAGCACACAGCACACACGTGCACAGGAGTGGAGTAGTCACAGGAGCAGCACAGGAGTACCACACGCGGCCTCGCTTGTTTGTGATTTGTGATTTGTGTTGACTAGTCAGTATTGACGTATTTTGCGAGCACAGCTTTTGAGCAGTCTCGAGCGGACAGGACACAGCTCACAGGTTGAGCCACATGAACAACGGGCGATTGGTCCCGCGACGGCGAGCTTGCGAGTTTTTTCCACATCAACAGCGAAGAGCGGAGCTCTCTAGGCTAAAGCCGTAGAGGACACACACCCAGGTACGTAGAGCCGTAGAGAACACTGTACGAATCTCGAATGTTTGGACATATGTGCACATGCGGTGTGTCTTGGGTGAGCCAAGCATCTTGGCGTGGCGATCGGCAGTCGCCGGCTCACAACGTCACATGGACTGTGTGAGCCTCGTTGGCGGGTCTCTCCCCTGCAGCTTGAGCGCCGCCGCCAGTGCGTCCACAAACGCGGGCGGTCCGCCGACGGCAACGCGCGAGCCCGGCGGCATGCTCTCGACGACCCGTGCCGGGGCCGGCCGTCCTCGGGCGAACGACACGCGCAGCTCGCCTGGGGCCGCCGCGCCGTGGCCAGCAGCCCGTTGCCCCTGCGACACGGCCGCACGGCGCGGGCTGCCCAACATCTCAGCGCCTCCCGGCTCGGCGCCGACGAGGGCTCCCCCGACGTAGGCGCGGGGCGAGGCCGAGCGGGACGGAGAGCGCGCCATTCCGCGGAGGCAGCGGTGCAGCGAGAGAGCGGCCGAGTGGAGGCGGAGCGCCGCCGCCGCGCCGACGTAGGCCGAAGCGAGGGCGGCGAGGAAGCCCAGCCCGCCCGAGAGAGAAGTGGGGACGCGTGCCCGCGAGAGAGGCGCCTCGTCCGACGCCCAGAGCAGCGGGAAGGCGACGGCGTACATCACGACCAGCGCCCCCAGCATCGAGGAGACCTCGAGCGCCTGCAGGCTCTCTCCGGCCCCGCCTCCGCGCGAGGGCGGCGGGATGTCGTGCGGCGCGGCGGCGAGCCGGACTGTCAAGCCGTCCGTCTCGAGGACGCGGACGGGGCCGGCAGACAACAAGTCTCGCGCGCCCGCCAGAGCGCGAGAGGCGACGGCGCCGCCGCCGCTGCTCTTCCCCTCGCGCTGCCCCCCGCCAGGACTGCTCGCGTCAGCCCGCCCCGTTCCTCCGCCCCGTCCCTCGCTGCCGGCCCGACCGGGCCGAGGGGCGTCGGCGGTGGTGGTCGCCCTCGCAGACAAGGCCGCCTCGTCTGGCACAGTGTCGAGCGCTGCTCCAACCACCGCCATCTCCTCCGGCGCGGTCTGCGAATGGCTGCGATGGCGGCCGCCGCCGCCGCCGCCGCCGCCGCCGCCGCCGCCCGTGAGGTGTATCTCGGTATGGAGCCACGGCAGCGAGGTCTCGCCTGTCGAGCGGTTGCGTGGCAGCATCGCGCCGTCGAGCATCTCGAGCGCACCCAGCTGCCTCACGACCACAACGAGGCGCACGTGCGCGTCCGAGGCGACGCGCCCGCGAGCGAGCCTCCGCAGCAGACCGACGAGCGGCGCGACGCCGGAGCCAGCGCCCACGAGGAGGGTGGGCACGCCGTGGCGTGCCGCCGCCTCAGTCTCGAGCAGGGCGGGGGGCGGGGGGAAGGGGCCGACGCAGCGCACACGCAAGGCGGACGGGCGGACAGCCCCCGACTCCACCGCGTCGGAGGGGTCGCCCTCACCAGCCCGCTCGAGCAAGGCGCGAGTCCACCGGCGCGCAGGGGAGACGTGCACCAGCAGCGCGCGCCGCCCGTCGGGCGCGACCAGGTCGCCGGCGATCGAGAAAGGGTGCCACTGCCACCGCCGCAGCGATGGCAACGCCAGCTGGACTGTGCCGCCCTCCCACCGCGGACCCTGCTCGGCGGCGCCGCCGCCGCCAAACGGGCAGCCGTGTGGAGAGCCTGCTCCGCCCTCCTCCGTGCTGGGGCGGCTCGCGCCGTGAGCTTCGGAGGCCGGCGAAGTGGCGAGCGGCGCACGCGGCGGCGGCAGCGGCACGAGCAACGTCACGACGGCGCCGCCCCTCGCCGTCGCCGCGGCGGCGGTGCCAGAGCCCAGGTAGTGGGAGCGCAACGCCGCGTCCGCCGCGAAGAAGACGACGAGCGGGGCGCACCTACTCGCGCAAAGCCGGCGGGGGCTCGCGAGCGCGGTGGGGGGAGGCGCACACCCTGAGCGGTGCGGCGCGGGCCAAGCGAGCAGCGCGGGCCAGTGTGTGCAACCGAAGAAGAAGAAGGCGAAGTGGAGCTGGTGGGCGCCGTAGAATGCAAAGTACCGCCGCCGCCGGAAGCGCGGCTGCGAGGCGGCCCAGAGCAGCGCGCCGCAGGACCAGCTGATCAGCCCTGCGAGGTTGTTGATCCCGGTGCAGCCGGCGCAGTCCAGCCAGTCCGATAGCTCCTGCTCACAGCATCGGGTGTGAACGGCGCCTGCTCTGGGCCGCCGCCGTCCCCTCCCGCCGAACGGGCGCCTCGACAAGCTTCTCGAGCGACTCGGAGAGCCAGGCGGAGAGGTAGCCGACGGCGTGCAGCGAGAGCAGAGCCATCATGCCGTGCCCTGCGAGGCGGAGACGGCAGCAGCTGCGGCGAGTATTGACGGGCACCGTGCAGCTCCCGCTCCCCCCGAACACAAGGGCAGAATGGCGGGGTTTGAGGTTGCGGCGCTCGCGGTGGACAACGCCCTCCCCCCCCCCCCCGCCCCCTCCCTCCTCTCGCCCTGTGTGGGGAGGCGCGCGCCAATCGCCCTGTGGAAGCCAATCGACTCCTCGTACGTGCGGCCGGCTGCCCGCCATAGAGACGAGCTGCGTGACAAGGGCAGGCCGAGGTACGCCATGGGGACGAGCGCGCCGACGCCCGCGTAGAGCGACACCTTGCGCAGCGCCTTCCTCCAGTCGGGGCAGGCGGACGCGTCCCACGGGCAGTCTCCATCCCTCGACAGCCGCCGCCTCGCGCCGACCACCCAGACGGCGATGCCGAGGCAGACCACGTCTGCGTGCAGAAAGGCTGCCAGCAGCGAGGCGTCCCTCCGCATAAGCGAGAGACAGAGGGTGAGCGCGCCCGTCGCCGCCGCAGTGACGAGCGCGAAGTGCCCGCCCCACGGGCCGACGGCGCTCCCCGACGGCGCGATGCAGGCCACGGCGAGGCAGCACCACAGCACCGCGCGGCACAGCAGCAGCAGGCGGTGCTGCTCCTTCTGGAGGCATGCCAGCAGCCAGCTCCGGCCCACGGACCACAGGGCGAGACCAGCATTTGCTGTGCGGTGCGGAGCCTTGACAGAGGCCATGCGATGCGGCTCGGGCCCATGCAGCAGAGCGCCTTCTCCCAACGCCTCGATGTGCTCCGCGGCAGCACACGCCATGGAGGCGCCGACGATGGCGGCTGTGAAGGCCACAAAGAGGGCATAGTAGTATGGGTCGCCGCTCAAGAGCTCATCCCACTTGCGGACCGTGTCGTCGTACCAGGGTGCAAACGGTGTGGCGACAATCACGAGCGAGGCCACGGAGAGGAGCAAGGCGAGCAGGCGAGTGAGGAGCGTAGCCCGGCGGCGTGCGATGGACATGCGGCAACGAGAGCCCGCGCGGGCACGAGGAGCTTTCCGCTCGGACCAACGGCAACAGCGATCGTCGATTGCCGAGAGCTCGGCGACACGAGCCGAGGGATAGCGTCGTCGATTGGCCTTTCGGTGAGACGCGAGAGGTGTCCGAGAGGTGGAAAAACTGTCAACGATATCGAGGGTTGGGGCTCTTTGCGGGGTATGGTGCGCCGACAGAGCATACCCCCCACCTGCTGACAGACCAGCAGCCCCACACCAGGTATGACAGACCGTGCAGACTACCGTGGTCAGCACCATACCCCCCCCCCCTGGGCCCGACCCTATATTTGTACCATACCATGCCCCGCCAAAAGTTGGAACCCAGCAGAGGGTCGCGGGTGTGCGCCGAGGACGAACTGCCTTCCGCCCGCACTGCGCCTTCGAATCGTCCAAAGTAAGTTAGCTCGCATGTGTATGGATATCTGGTTGTAGAATGGTGAATGCTGGCGTGTGCGCGAAAGATACTGAACTACTGAACTAACTAGCTGAACTCGACCCTTTCCTTCGGAGGGGGTATCGCGTATCCCATCCCACACATCGATCTGCGCGCGGGCCTCTCCTACCATCAGGTGTCCAAGTTATCACAAAGACATCCTGGTGGTGCTACCCCGGTTGGACACGCTGGCATTTCGAGATGGATGCGTGAGCACGTCAACGGCGAGCGAGGGCATCGTGGCGACGCTCAATCGGTCGTCCTTCTTCTCCTCTCCCGACTTTTCAGATCTGATTGGCGAGATCGCGTCGATGGGCGTCAACTTCGGTGGCGTTGCCGAGTCATCACACCCGTGACGGCGGCGGCGCCAGAGGAGGTAGGAGCAGAGCACGAGCAACAACGCCCCACTCGCAGCGGCGCCGCAGACCCACGCGACGGGTCCAGGGCCCTGCGGATCCTCGAGCGGATCCACTGCCTGGGTGGCTGGTGCTGGTGCCGATGGCGGCGGCGGCGAGGGCTGTGGAGGCAGCGGAGGTGGCGGCGAAATCGCATTGGGTGGGGTTGGGCGGGCTGCACTGACGAGGTCGCCAGACGTGACTCCCGCAGCGAGCCCTGTTGTGAGCGTAAGCCCAAACCCGACCGCCAGGCGACGCTGGCGCGATGGCGTGCCGAGGCTCTGCACCCGGTACGCCTTGTACGTGAAGCTGACACGTTGGCCGATCACACTAGACTCGAGCGCGTCAGACCGGTGTTTGAGTAGTATCGCGCTTCCTGGCCGGACGAAGCTCAAGTAGCACTCCACAAAGATCACCACATCGCCCTCGTCGGCGTCGCTCATTAGCCGCATTGCCTTGGTCGACTCCGGGCAGGTCCGGGACGAGGGCAGAGGGGTAAGCGGTGGCGGTGGCCGCGGCGGCAGCGAGGGCGGCGTTGGCGGAGGCGGGGAGGGCGAGGCGGAGGGAGGCGGTTGGGTCGGCGGCGACAGTGGCGGCGGCGGCGAGCTTGGTGGGGCGAGCTGGCCAGGAGACAGAGGCGAGGGTGGCGGCGGTGATGGAGGCGGCGACAATGGCGTTGGCGGCGGAGGGGAGGGCGGCGAGGCGGAGGGGGGCGGTTGGGTCGGCGGCGACAGTGGCGGCGAGCGTGGTGGGGCGAGCTGGCCAGGAGACAGAGGCGAGGGTGGCGGCGGTGATGGAGGCGGCGACAATGGCGTTGGCGGCGGAGGGGAGGGCGAGGCGGAGGGGGGCGGTTGGGTCGGCGGCGACAGCGGCGGCGAGCGTGGTGGGGCGAGCTGGCCAGGAGACAGAGGCGAGGGTGGCGGCGGTGATGGGAGGCGGCGACAATGGCGTTGGCGGCGGAGGGGAGGGCGAGGCGGAGGGGGGCGGTTGGGTCGGCGGCGACAGTGGCGGCGAGCGTGGTGGGGCGAGCTGGCCAGGAGACAGAGGCGAGGGTGGCGGCGGTGATGGAGGCGGCGACAATGGCGTTGGCGGCGGAGGGGAGGGCGAGGCGGAGGGGGGCGGAGGGGAGGATACGACGGAGGATGGCGGCGGCGAGGGCGACGAGGGTGATGGCGAAGGTAGCGTCCATTCGATGCTGATGCTAACCTCGCCCCCCCTGCCGTATGTTCCAAGGCTCAGAGGAAAGGGCAGCGTCGTTATGAAAGGTCTGTCAACTTGCAGAGCAGCATAGCCGACGAGGCCGTCGATGCTGTCCCAGACGCCGATGTTGCTGTCCCAGACAGTAAGCACCATAACATCTCCATCGGCCACCGGATATTCGCAGCAATATGGCGGCTGCCATTGTGGCTCGACACTGCTCCGGACTTCCGCAGTTGCGCACGCATGCACGCAGGAAGAGTAGCCGGGGTCGCAGAACTCGAAGAGTACGTTGACCTGTGGGGCTGCGACGATAGGATCAGGGTTGATGCGCGCGCTGTGGACACAGACTCGGAGTGGCATCATCGGAGCCGACGATGGCGCAAGGGATGTGGACCGGCGTCTCCTCGGAATGCCCAGCAAATGCAGCCAATCGAATCACGCTTCGGCACCGTTTGGGTACTTGAAAGAGGCCAAGGGCACAAGACACCAGCGCCGGTGCTATGAAGCGGTAACCAAGGTGGTCAACAAGCTGCGAGACCGGCCTTAGCTGTTGGTTGGAGAGGTTCGACTACCGTCCACCTCCACGTGCCGAGCGAGAGCCGCGTGCGGATGAGGTGGAGAGACTGAGAGCCTCCCGCGGCCCACTGCCAGCCGCACTTGAGAGTGGCGAGGCCAGGCAAACTCCGGAGGCCGACGAATCACTTGTGGATGCAGTCAGCAGCGGCACCGCAGACCCCAGTGGGGCTGATGGCGCGCCTGAGGAGGAGGAGGCGCAGGGGTCAGCGCTGGCGGGGCCCCCAGTAGAGCCACTGGCAGGTGGCGCCACTGGAGGCGAGAAGGAGGAAGTGGGCGAGGCGGTGGAGCAGGATGGCCGGGACGAGGCGCTGGGCGACGAGGAGATGGAGGTGACAAACGAGGAGAAGGAGGGAGAGGAGGCGCAAATGAGCGACGACGAGGTGGAGGCGGAGGCCGAGGTGGAAGCGCAGGTGGAGCAGGAGGCGGCGGAGGAGGCGGCGGAGGAGGCGGAGGAGGCGGCGATGAGCGAGGACGAGGTGGAGGAGGTGGCGCCGCCGCTTCAAAGCTCCGCCGCTGACGCTGATACGCTCGAAGGCGGCGACGTGCAGATCTCCGCTGCATCAGGCGCCCGTCTGTCGATAGTCGCCCAGAGATGCCCTAACTTACTGCCTCTGGTTTGCATGTGCCTGCTGCCCGAGCACCTGCCGCACCAGCGGGCGCTCTGCCCGCTCCACTCCTTCTATGCGACCAAGAGGCTGGTCGCGGCGCCCGTCGATGGCAACGAGGCGGCGTTGCCCGAATTGCTACTGCCTCATCTGCGACGCGTGTGTCCGAGTGCGGCCATTGGCGGGGCGGCGATCCAGCGAATTGCAACGCGCACGGCGACAGCGCATTCTGGCGCCAGAAGCGCGTCACCGCCAAGCGACAGCGCACGCGGGCAGCGCAGGTGACGCAGGCACGCCTCCCGTGCAGCACGCCGGGCTGCTCCCGCGAGGCGTACCATGATGGCCTCTGCTCGACCGAGAGGGCGGCCGGGCGCACGCGCTCCGTCGGCTGCGGCCTCTCGCTCTCCTTAGCACTCGCCACAGCAATGGCCGCTCCCGCCCGCCTCTCTCGCCCGTGTTTGATGGCGACGTCGTGCCTCTCGGCTTGCCCCCTTGCCCCAACCTAGCACGACCTTTTTTGTGAGTCGTTGTGTGTGTTCACCCTTGGGTTTCTTGCCGTCGTCCCAGCTGTGTGCTGGGGCGGGTCCCCAAGGGTGAATTGTGTGTGTAAATGTGTTGTGAGACAAGGTCCAGGAGCACCTTTGAAACTTCGTACTGTGGTGGGATGTGTGTATGCGGCGACTGACGACGGCAAAAATGCAGCCCCGCCCCTGGCCTCTGTTAATTTTTACCTCCAGCTTTGGGTGCACACGGGACTTTACGTGAGCGCGCCAACAGATAAGACGAGTTAGGGGGGGGAGGAGCGCCGGCCGCCTTGGATTCTCACGCGGAGCGGCTTGAGACCTCTTTGAGAAATTATTACTGCCGGATAACGGCTCTTAAATGCAAACGCAATCAATGTGATTGGTGTGCCATGCAAGACAACTGTCGGCTGCTTCGTCGGACCCCACGTCCCCACACCCCCATGGAGGACAGTGAGTGAGTGAGTGCACACCACACACACACGTATCATCACGACCACGGCGCTAGTGGCAGCTCCTCGGCCCGACGTTGTCGACACAGCCGCGTCCAGATCGACCCGCGCCGCCGCGGTGCGCGGAGGCTGCTAACTTTAAAAATCCGTCTTATCCTTTCGCCTGCGGAAACGGCCAGCTTTCCCTAGATGTCCCCAGCCGGAAGCTCCGACGATGTTAACCTCTAGTGGGGGTCGGACCTGCGCATCTTCGCTATGCCAGAGCTTAGAGGGGGTCCGGAGGCTGCGCTCCAGCTACTGCGGACGCGCTCCGCGCGCGTCACAAGCCTCCGCCGGGGAAACGCGCCGCGCCGACCAATGGCTGGACAGCCGCGGACGAGCTCGAGCTCATCATGCGACGCTGGCGCGCACTACTGGTCGGCGGCAAGATGGGCGAGATCACTGTTGGAAAACGCAAAGCCGACGCGTGCAAAAAGCACTCCCAACGACTCAACAAGTACCTGCACGAGAACATCCCGTCTCGAGTCGTCGAGGACAACTGGAATGTCACCGCCGCACAGCTCAGTCCCGACCCCGTGCGTGTTGCAGTGATGGATTGCACTGACCCCGACTGGACAAAAAATTCTTTTTCCTTGGCGGCAACGCGATGGCGGCAAGGCCTCTCTGCGCGCCCGCCCTCGCCACGCCGAAGACCAACCGACGTCGGACCGCGGTGAGACCACGCCGCCCCCCGCGCCCGCCCGCGCCCGCAGCGTGAACACATACGCGCGTCCCTCACCGCACGGAAACATACGCGCCAGCCGCGCAGCAGCCTCACATGCAGCGCCGACCGCATGCTCGCGCCCTGGGCCGCCGACGACCCGGTCGGGCGGGCTGCGCGGCCGCCGTACACCATCAGGCAGGCGCGCGACCACTCGCAGCGCGCCGCAGCCCACCGCGCAGCCCTGCCAGCCAAGCCTGCGCCTCAAAGCTGCACAAACAGGCGCACAACAGAGCACAGCGCACAGCACAGGGGCTGCGCTCTCCCCCCCCCGCTGAGGCACCAATTCCGGTCGGCCCTTTTCTGCGGGATGAAGTGAACGTTGAAATAGTGCATCTGTTTAGTACTCGACCGTTGCTGACAGTAGTTGGGTTCGTTTGCAACCGTTTTTGGTTGCTGCAGCGATGACAATTGCTGTCAATGCCAGTACCAACCCACCATCTCTGCTGTGCAATTGGATACGGCAGAGGTACGCGCTACGCCGTTGCGTGTTGGGCTCATAAATTTTGTTGGGCTGGCCTCGAGGCCAGCAGGGTGAGCAAATTATGCCAGGGGTTCGAGTTCACTGCGGCAGGGGAGAGCGTGCCGCAGTTAGTATACGCAGACGACTGCCTGCTGTTGAGTAACGATATAGCCACGATGCAGCTCGCGCTCGAGTGCGCCTGGCTGGTCACCAAAATATGCGGAAACAGCCTACAGGTGAAAAAGAAGAAGAAGTCTGCATGGTCCGCGACCTACTGGAAGGAGGGGACGGAAGTGGACGTGACGGGGTACGAGATGAAGATGCCATGGAGGACCCGTCGCCAGACGACGCAGGGCAGAAGACGGTGAGGCGGAGCAGACGCGCAGGGTGAGACGAGGGAGGGAGCAGGACTTTGCGGAGATCAGCAGGAGGATGTACGAAGAGATTAGGAGCAGCAGGGACCCGAGGGACCATGTGGAAGACGGCTAGTGCTAGTCCCCCATCGGGAGGACGACCCCGGCTAGTCGCCGACCACACCCACAAAGAACCCTGCACAAAGATCGCAAGGGCGGGGGCCTGTTCCTTTTTACCCATCTCACAGTAGAGAGGTGTCCGTTTTTATTTATTTATTTAGCAGCCGCTGCCATAGTGTCAAGTGTGACACGCACGGGTGTCGGTGGTAGCGAGTGAGCCGCGCGCGCGCGCGCGCGCGGCGCGGCGCGGCTCGGTGGGAGTCGTGATGTGTCGCACAAGGGATTCGATCAACGCCCGTCGGAACACTCACAAACATCGAAATTGTTATCGTGGGTGGCGTAATTGACGTGTAAGTCTGTGCTGGCGCGCTAATGGCGCGTTTGATATTGGGATGGTGTGAACTCGCGCCATGGCTCGTCCATCATCGAGAGGTCTGCCCCTCGCTGGGTGTCACTCTAGCCTCTCCTAGCTAAACATCCTAGCCGCCACCGCCTTCTCGGCCTTCTTCGCCTCGGCCTCGCGCCGGCCGCACTCCGCAAAGGCGTCGCGCACCGCGCGGTCCTTTGGGTCCGCGGTGGCCGCCGCGCGCAGGTCGGCCTTGGCGGCAGCAAAGTCGCCCCCGTGCATGCGCGCGGTCCCGCGGCGGTAGAGCGCCTTGACGGAGGCGGGCTCGACGGCGAGCGCCTTGCCCGCCGCCGCCTCCGCGAGCGCCCACTCCTTGAGCTTTAGCGCTGCGGCGGCGGCATTGAGCTGGCACGAGAGCAGCAGCGCGCGCGCCGGCTCTGCCGACTCGCCCTCCACGTACGACGCCGCGTCGACGTACAGCTCGTACGCCTCGTCGTTGCTCCCCGCCTTGAGCGCGGCGGTGCCCTTCTCCTTGAGCTCCGCCGCGGTCGCCTGCTTGCCCGCCTCGTCGAGCTCCCACTTCTGCTTGCGCTCCTCCTTCCAGCCAAAGAGCTCAACCTCAAACTTCAGCGTCGCCCCGGCGGGGATCTTTGGCGGGTGCCCGCTCTCGCCGTACGCGTAGTCGTGCCTGCATGTCAGCGTGCAGACCTCGCCCTTCTTCATCGTGCAGATGCCCTGGTCCCAGCCCTTGATGACCTGCCCGACGCCAACCTTAAACTCAAAGAAGCCGGGCCGGTCGCGGGACGAGTCGAACTTGGAGCCGTCGAGCAGCGTGCCGACATAGTGGACCTTGACCTTTGAGCCGACCGGCGGAGAGCCGGACGAGGCATCGCCCTCGGTGACCAGCTCCTTGAAGAGGCCACCGTCCTGGTCATGAGAGATGTCGACGCCGGGCGCGTCCTCGAGCGGGGCCAAGGCCATGCTACTCGTATGAGGCGGCGAGGTGGTGCCACTAGTGGTGCCACTAAGGCCTCGTCGCCAGCGCTCTGGAGCAGTCGAGAAGCGGAATAAAGAAAGTTTTCTGGGCTGTATTGTAAGAATTCTTTAGCGGGAGAAATACGAGAGTGGGACGACCGCGAGGTAGCAATAAAGGTGGAGAATAGGTGGGGCACTGCAAAGAGAGATAAGAGACGACGCCCAAGGGTGGGCGACGGCTAGCACCACACTCCTCTCCTTAAAATCCCTGTGTGGTGGCGGCGCCGCGGCCAGAAGGGACGTCGGTGGCAGAAAGGCACAGCCGAGACGGCGGCCGAGCACCCAGCGGCCATCGCACGCGAAGACAAGTCATTACAGAGACCTTGATTGCGAAGAAAATTCCACACCACGTACGAGAACTAGACGTACGAAACGGAATCAGCTACGGGCCGCTGGCGCCGCCTCCTTCGCCCCGCGGCCTCCCCCGCCCACCCCGCCCACCCCGCCCACCCCGCCCACCCTGCCCACCCCGCCCACCCTGCCCACCCCGCCCACCCCGCCCGCCGCGCCCGCCGCGCCCGCCGCGCCCATCGACCACCGCCGCGCCACTAGCGGGCAGTGGGTGTGGCACAGCGCGAGTGGGTGGCTGGTGGACAAACGTCATCTGCGCCGCCACCAGCCGCCCAATTGCGGCGATGGGCAGCGCCGGCTGGCGGCAGGCCGGGCAGTTGGTGTCGCGCTCCAGCACGCGCGGCACACATGTCTCGCAATACAGCGCGTGGCCGCACGCGAAGCGGACCGAGCGCGGCGCGTCCCAGCAGAGGTCACACAGGCGCTCCTCGGCCCCAGCCGTCTCCTCCACCTCCCCCGCCGCTTCGACTAGCGCCTCCAGCCGCGGCAATGCCTCTGCGAGCGGCATCCGCTTCTTCTTCCGCTCGTATGCCAGCCCGACCACGAGCCGCGTCAGCTCCTCGGCCTGCGCCGCCGACCAGCCCGCGTCGGCCGCCGCGATGCCCTCCGCCGTGTCGGGCTCCTCCAACTCATCCTCGCACGCGTTGAGCAAGCCGACGGCGCCGCGGCCGGTCAGGCTGACGAGCAGCGTGATGCCGAGTGCGAAGCCGTCAGTGAGCTGCGAAGCCTGGTTGTCCAGCGATATGATCGGGTCCATGTAGCCGGGCTTCCCAAAGATACGCTGCGTCGACAGGTGCGAGACCTGTCCATTGCTGCCGGCCGTCGCCTCTGCCGCGCGCGCGAGGCCCACGTCGGCGAGGTATCCGTTGCCGCGCTCGTCTAGCATGATGTTGCCCGCCGAGACGTCGCGATGAAGGATCATCGGAGAGAGCGTGTGCAGGTAGTGCAGCGCTCTCGCCGCGTCGCGCAGCACGCGGAGCCGTGCGGCGGAGGAGAGCGGCGGAGGCGGCGTCTCGAAGCCGAGCATGCGGAGCCGCTGCAGCGCGGCTGGAGCGCGGTAGAGGCGGTCCTCGAGACTGCCGCCGCGGCAGAGGGGGTAGACGAGGCACGCTCTCGCCGGTGCCAAGCAGACGCCGAGCAGAGGAAGCAGGGACGGGTGGCACGCCGCGCTGAGCGTGCGCACCTCGCTCTGCAGCTCGGCAAGGCCTTGGGCGCCGACACCGACCAGCGCCGTCTTGACCGCGAACCCGCAAGCAACGCGCGGGAGCGACGGCAGCGCGTCGGCGCGGTAGACGCGCCCAAAGCCGCCCTCGCCCACCTTGCAAACCTCGGCAAAACCGTCGGTCGACGCGATGAGCTCGTCGAGAGGGACGGCGGCGGGCGGCGCGGCGGCGGCGGCGAGGGCGGCGACACTCGCCGCCGCCTCCACTGCCTCCACTGCCGCCGCCGCCGCCTCTGCTGCCGCCGCCTCCGCTGCCGCCTCCGCTGCCGCCGCCTCCGCTGCCGCCTCCGCTGCCGCCGCCTCTTGAGCCTCCACCGCCGCCACTGCCGCCACTGCCGCCTCTACAGCCGCCGCTTCCGCCGCCGCCTCCGCCGCCGCTGCTGCCTCCGCTGCTGCCTCCGCTGCCGCCCTCTCCCTCGCCTCTTCCCTCTCCCTTACCGCCTCCTCCCTTAACCGCGATGCCGCCTCCGCCTCCTCCGCCGCCCGCGCCGCCGCAGCCTCTGCTACCACCCGATCCTCTTCCTCCGCCACTCTCGCCTCCTCAGCCGCCCGCGCCTCCTCCGCCGCCCGCGCCTCCTCCGCCTGCTCCGCTGCCCGCTCCACCGCCCGCGCTGCCGCCGCTGCCTGCCTCGCCGCCTTCTCCTCCTTCTGCCGCTGCCGCTTCAGCGCCCTGGCCTCGCGGGTCTTTTGCTCCGCGACGAGCAACAGCAGCTCGACCACCCGCTGGTGGCCTTGGGTGGCGGCGTCCGTCAGTGCGGTGCCGCCGCCGCTGTTCTGCAGGTTGATCTCCGCGCCGCGCCGTATCAGCAGCTCGACCACCCGCTCGTGGCCGTAGTTGGCAGCGCACATCAGCGCGGTCCAGCCGTCGCTCTCCTGCATGTTGACCTCAGCGCCGTGCTGCAGCAGCAAGTCGACCACCCGCTCGTGGCCGTAGCTGGCGGCGGTCATCAGCAGCGTGAGGCCGCTCGCCTTGCCTCTCTTGTACGTCGCGTCGGCCCGCCCGCCGCCCTCGAGCCACGCCAGCACCGCCTCCTCCTCGCCTCGCTCAACCGCTGCCACGACCGCATCGGGGGCCGCGACACCGCTCGACGCCCGCCCCGCCGCCACCGCTGGAGATAGCGTCTCCGCGACTCTCGATCCAGCCGAGGAAGCGCCGCCGGGGGAAGCGCCGCCTGTGCCTCCGCCGCCGGCTGCCGCCGCAGTGGGCCGTCCCGCCACGACCGACTCCTGGACGTGCTGCCGGAACGCCTCGACGCACTCGGCGTGGCCCTCCTCCTTGGCCAGCTGCAGCGCCGTGCTCCCGTCAACAGTGCGTGACGCCGTGTCAGCGCCCGCCCGCAGCAAGCGCCGCACGACGGATGGGTGGTTGAAGAGGGCGGCGATCATGAGCGCGGTGCAGTCGATGCTGTCCTGCAGGTTGACCTCCGCGCCGTGCCGAATCAGCAACTCGACCACCCGCTCGTGGCCATCCTGGGCGGCAGTCATCAGCGCGGTGCAGCCTTTGCTGTCCTGCAGGTTGAGCTGCGCGCCTTGCCGAGTCAGCAGCTCGACCAGCCGCTCGTAGCCTTTGCCGGCGGCGAGAATCAGCGCGGTGTAGCCGTTACGGTCCTGCAGGTTGATCTCCGCGCCGCGCTGCAGCAGCAAGTCGACCACCCGCTCGTGGCCTTGGCTGGCGGCCCACATCAGCGCGGCGCCACCGACGCTGTCCTGCAGGTTGAGCTCCGCGCCGTGCCGAATCAGCAGCTCGACCACCCGCTCGTGGCCTTCGCGGGCGGTGCACATCAGCAGCGTGAGGCCGCTCACGCCGCCTCTCTTGTACGTCGCGTCGACCCGCCCGCCGCTGTCGAGCCACGCCAGCACCGCCTTCTCCTCGCCACGCTCCGTTGCTGCCACGACCTCGTCGGAGACTGCCAAGACACCGCTCGACGCCCGCCCCGCCGCCACCGCTGGAGATAGCGTCTCCGCGACTCTCGATCCAGCCGAGGAAGCGCCGCCGGGGGAAGCGCCGCCGGGGGAAGCGCCGCCTGCGCCTTCGCCACCGGCTGCCGTCGCCGTGGGCCGTCCCGCCAGCACCTCCTGGACGTGCTTCTTGAAGGCCTCGACGCACTTGGCGTGGCCCTCCTCCTTGGCCAGCTGCAGCGCCGTCTTGCCGTTCTCAGCGCGCGCCGCCGTGTCTGCGCCCGCCCGCAGCAAGCGCCGCACGACGGCGGGGTGGTCGAAGAGGGCGGCCCACATCAGCGCAGTGAAACCGTCGCTGTCTTGCAGGTTGACTTCAGCGCCGCGCCGCAGCAGCAGCTCGACCATCCGCTCGTGGCCTCCGACAGCGGCATACATCAGCGCGGTCCAGCCGTCGCTCTCCTGCATGTTGACCTCAGCGCCGTGCTGCAGCAGCAAGTCGACCACCCGCTCGCGCCCTTCCTGGGCGGCAGCCATCAGCACAGTCAAGCCGTCGCTGCTGTGCAGGTTGATCTCAGCGCCGCGCCGTATCAGCAAGTCGACCACCCTCTCGTGGCCTTGGCCGGCGGCGAACATCAGCGCGGTGAGGCCGTTGCTGTCCTGCAAGTTGACGTCAGCCCCACGCTGCAGCAGCAGCTCGACCACCCGCTCGTGGCCGTTGAAGGCGGCGCCCATCAGCAGCGTGACGCCGCTCACGCCGCCTCTCTCGTACGTCGCGTCGGCCCGCCCGCCGCCCTCGAGCCACGCCAGCACCGCCTTCTCCTCGCCACGCTCCGTTGCTGCCACGACCTCGTCGGAGACTGCCAAGACACCGCTCGACGCCCGCCCCGCCGCCACCGCTGGAGATAGCGTCTCCGCGACTCTCGATCCAGCCGAGGAAGCGCCGCCGGGGGAAGCGCCGCCGGGGGAAGCGCCGCCTGCGCCTTCGCCACCGGCTGCCGTCGCCGTGGGCCGTCCCGCCAGCACCTCCTGGACGTGCTGCCGGAACGCCTCGACGCACTCGGCGTGGCCCAGCTGCTTGGCTAGCTGCAGCGCTGTCTTGCCGTCCTCAGCGCGCGCCGCCGTGTCTGCGCCCGCCCGCAGCAAGCGCCGCACGACGGCGGGATAGCCGGACAGGGCGGCGTTCATCAGCGCGGTGACGCCGTCGCTGCTCTGCAGGTTGACCTTCGCCCCGTGCCGCAGCAGCAGCTCGACCATCCGCTCGTTGCCGTTGGCGGCGGCGTACATCAGCGCGACGTTGCCGTCGCTGTCCTGCAAGTTGACCTTCACCCCACGCCGGAGCAGCAGCTCGACCACCCGCTCGTGGCCGTAGCGGGCGGCGCCCATCAGCAGCGTGAGGCCGCTCACGCCGCCTCTCTTGTACGTCGCGTTGACCCGCCCGCCGCCCTCGAGCCACGCCAGCACCGCCTCCTCCTCGCCTCGCTCAGCCGCTGCCACGACCGCATCGGGGGCTGCCACGACACCGCTCGACGCCCGCTCCGCCGCCGCCGGCGACAGATTACCGGGATGCACCCGCACGCTCTCGCCGCCGCCCTCGAGCGCCACCGCGTACCGCCCGCCCTCGAAGCTCCCCGCCACGCCCCGCCGCCCGTTCAGCTCGGGGCGGGAGGAGAGCCCGCCGAGCACGACTCGCTGGCCGAGCAGCGGCGCTGGCTCGCCCGTGTGCACCATGGAGCGCGGGCCGATTTTCGATTTCTTTTGGTGCGCAACCGTCCGACCTAATTGAAAGAAAACAAAGCACGCGCCGCAGCGCGGCGCGCATACCCGATCACGATTGCGCTGCGCGGAAGGCAGCGATGTAGTCGTCTAGCGGTTCGCCGGGGAGTTGCTTGCTTGCGGAAGGACGACGAACGAGGAGGAGGTATCCGTTGAAGTGTCCGTTGAGGAGGCGTTCGGCGCAGTTGACATGCGATATGCCGATTCCACCTCTCGCAGGTAGTTGTACCGGTCGTTAAGACTGCAGACGGCGCTTTTGTACCAGACTGCAGTCGGCATAATTGCGCCTGCCTGCAGCAGCCGGAGCAGAGTAGCGTGTCGGCCGCGCTGCCCTCGACTGCGGCGGTGCGCGGCGGGCTGCAGTGCCCGCGCTGCCCCCCTGCGGCGGCGGCAGGGCCTTCCTCGGCCTTCTCGGGAAAAAGATTTTTTCGCGCGATGTCTGTGGTTGTAAGCAGTCAGGCCCGAGAGCGATATGCCATGCGGGTGTCCGCGTTTGTTTTTGTTGACAAAATAACTCGGGGGCACAGGACGCGGCAGAAACGGGGTACCCCAAAAGGCACGTGTTGTTTCATAACATCGAAGGCTAGCTAAAATAAATTTCGCTCCGGCCTTGCAGCGCCTCACAGAAAAAGAAAACGCGCCGCATTGAGGTCGAGCTCACAGCTCTCTCGTCGCGGAGAGGCCGCGAAGTCCCATGCTCAGCGCGACCCTCAGGAGCGCTCGCCGGCCGTCCGTGGCCGCCTGCTGCAGATTGAGGCGGCCAGCTGCGTCGGCGCGCGCCTTCTCGGCGGAGCCCGCGACCGACAAGCTCGTCATCTTCGACACGACGCTGCGCGACGGCGAGCAGTCTCCCGGCGCGACGCTGACTGAGTCGGAGAAGGTCGAGATTGCGAAGCAGCTGTCGCGGCTGGGCGTGGACGTGTGCGAGGCGGGCTTTCCGATCGCGTCGGAGGGCGACTTCGCGGCCGTCACGCAGGTCGCCAAGACGTCGGGCCAGCTCACCGACGGCCGGCGAAGCGGGCAGCCGATGCGGATCGCCGGGCTCGCGCGCGCGAACAAGAAGGACCTGGAGCGGTGCTACGAGGCGGTGCGGCACGCGCCGCTCCACCGGATACACACCTTCCTCGCCTCCTCCGACATCCACCTCGAGCATAAGCTCGGCATCTCGCGCGCAAAGTGCGTCGAGATCTCCTCGTCGATGGTCGCTTTCGCAAAGTCGATGGTCGACGACATCGAGTTCTCGCCCGAGGACGCCGGGCGGTCCGACCCCGCCTTCCTCGTCGAGCTGTGCGAGGCCGTCATCGAGGCGGGCGCCACCACCATCAACTTGCCCGACACTGTCGGCTACACGCTGCCGGACGAGTTACTCGCTCCTCGCGACTGGTCGCAAGCGAATGACTAGCGGTGTTCATTCCTTCGTGACTGGCGAATAGGTACTCGTCGCTCTTCGCGCACCTGATCGCAAACGTCAAGGGCGCAGACCGCATCATCTGGTCCACCCACTGCCACAACGACCTCGGCCTCGCGACTGCAAACTCGCTCGCCGCCGTCGCGCGAGGCGCCAGACGAGCAGCGGCGCCGCGCGCCCGAGCGGGGCACGACGCCTCTCTTCACCGCTCCGGTGTGAGCAGGCGCGAGGCAGGTCGAGGTGACCCTCAACTCGCTGGGCGAGCGCGCGGGCAACACATCCCTCGAGGAGGTTGTCATGGCGCTGCGCACGCGGCCGCACCTCTTCCCGGTCCACTGCGACATCGAGACGAAGCAGATCATGCGCACGTCCAAGATGGTTGCGACGTACACCGGCATCGCCGTGCAGGCCAGCCAGCCAGCACCGCCCCTCCGCCGGCCGACACCTCGCTGGGGCGGGAGGCGACAGGCGCACCCTCTCTCACGCCCTGCTGCTGCTCCCCGCCGCCGCGCGCAGGCCAACAAGGCCATCGTCGGAGCGAACGCGTTTGCACACGAGTCGGGCATCCACGAGCACGGCGTGCTCTTGTGGGCCAGCTGAAGTCGTGTCTCATCGCAGTGCGGACGGGTCTAGGCATCCACCAGCACGGCATGCTCAAGCACGCGGCCACGTACGAGATCATCACGCCCGAGTCGGTCGGGGCGGACAGCTCAAAACATGCTGGTGCTGGAACCTTCTAGGAACCTTCTAGGAACCTTCTAGGTCGGGGCGGACAGCTCAAACATGCTGGTGCTGGGCAAGCATTCGGGCAAGGCCGCCTTCCGCGCGCGGCTGATCGAGCTCGGGTGAGATCACGCCCTCATGAAGTCAGTAGTGAGTGCGTCGGTACGGCGTCCGCGCGCGGCTGGTCGGGTGACACGAGAGTCTCACCCGAGGCCAAGACACATCCGTGGCATGTCCGTGACACGTCGGTGACACGTCGGACACACGTCGGACACACGTCGGACACACGTCGGACACACGTCGGTGCCGCGCCCCCGCAGGTACAACGACGTCGCCGAGGACGAGGCCAAGCTGTCGCAGTTCGTCGAGGAGGCGAAGGCGATCGCCGACGCGAAGAAGGCGCACTCTGACGCCTACCTCGGCGCTACCTCGGCGCTACCTCGGCGCTACCTCGGCGGTGCCTCGGCGGTGCCTCGGCGCTACCTCGGCGCTACCTCGGCGCTACCTCGGCGACATCTCCGCAGGTCGTCTCTGACGCCGACCTCGAGTCGCTGCTCGGAGTAGTGATGGACCAGGTGGTGCAAGGAGAAGGCACTTGCCAGACACTTCCTTGACACTCCACCGACCGTTCCTTTCCCTTTCCCAGGCGGTGCAGGAGAAGGCGTGGGAGCTGCTCTCGTGCTCGGTGCAGTCCAACTCGGAGAACCACGGCCACAAGGTCCCTCGGAATGTATCAATGACACCCTAACCCTCACCCTCACCCTTCCTCACCCCTCACCTCACCCTCACCCCTCACCCTCACCCCTCACCCTCACCCCGCACCCGCACCCGCACCCTCACCCTCACCCTCACCCTCTCCCTCACCCTCTCCCTCTCCCTCACCCAAACCCAAACCCAAACCCAAACCCAAACCCAAACCCTGCAAGGTCTCCTCGACGGCGACGGTGCGGCTGCACGAGGTCAGCACCGGCACAGAGCACGCCGTCGCCGCCATCGGAGCCGGCCCCGTCGACGCAACCTTCAAGGCGAACCCTAGCCCGAGCCCTAGCCCTGGCCCTAACCCTGACCCCCCTGACCCTACCCCTGATCCTCACCCTGACCCTACCCCTCACCTCAACCCTGACCCCCCTGGCCCTAACCCTGACCCACCCTGACCCCCACCCCCACCCCTGACCCCGACCCCCCGTCGACGCGCCCTCCCAGGCCATCCTGCGCATCATCGGCCGGCCCATCGAGCTCAAGCAGTACAACGTGACCAAGATCCACGGTGGCTCGGGCGGGCCGGGCACCGACACGCTCCCCGTCTCTCTCTCCAGCCGAGATCGGGCGAGATCCGCCGAGGTGCGCCGAGATAGGCAACGACGCGCTCGCCTCCATCAACCTGCACATCGCGCCGCGCGAGGTCGGCGACGCGGGCTTGCCCGGGTACGAGGCGCCCGACCCGTCCTTCCCGGGACACCACGGCGCTATCTACCGCGAGGTGCGATGCGGAGCACACCCTCGGCTAGCTCTCGGCTGTATCTCCGCTGTATCTCGGCTGTATCTCCGCTGTATCTCGGCTAGATCTCGGCTAGATCTCGGCTAGATCTCGGCTGTACGTCGATATCTCGGCTAGATCTCGGCTGTATCTCGGCTAGATCTCGGCTGTATCTCGGCTGGATCTCGGTTGTATCTCGCACAGGGCGCCAACGGCGCGCCCGAGCTCGTCAACGCCGAGACCTTCGAGGGGCGCAAGCCCGCCGTCGCAACCTACACGGGCTCCGGCTCCTCCACCGACATCGTCGTCGCGTCGGCGCAGGTGCCGCCCCCCTAGCAGGTAGTGAGATCTGGTTGTGATCTGCTCACCGTCCGCTGCGTCGTTGTCGTGGTCGTTGTCGTGGTCGGCGCAGGCGTACCTCGGGGCGATCAACAAGCTGATTGAGCGCGAGCCCGCGCCGGCGGCGAGCACCTCCTGCCGCGACTACTCGACCGTCGTGACGCCCTCGCAGAGCCAGGAGGCCGCGTCCGCCATGGGGGCATAGCTGCCACACGTCGACTGTACGGGGCGGGGGCCCACCAGCTGTCGGCCGGCGACGGTTGCAACGCTTGCCGGTGGCGAGGCGCTGCATGCGCCTCTCGCATGACTCTTACACGAGCGCCGCACTCACATCAACGACCCGGCCGCATGCTTGCCCCCACGCGAACGCGTTTTCTGTCTCTTACGACTACGTGGCGACTGCGGACTGGCGGTCCGCTGCAGGCCATAGCCCATACGTCCCGGGTAAAACGCGGCCGGGGAGTTTGTAAGTACTGCTCTACGCATACAGCACATGCGCATCACACGCGTATCCTAAACCACGATCTAAATCCGGCGGCCCCAGCCGCCGGCGCGAGCGCAGCGGCGAGGAGTGTCCTGGTCCCGTCTCCCCGCGGCCCCGCGCGGCGCGCGCCACGTGTATGGGTGTTGGCTGCTGTTGGATAAAGCCGTACCTCGCACATTCTGACGCGTTCGCCATCGCCCGGACGCCGCGGCGTCACGGCTCCGATGGGCGTTGCGGCCCCTCTTTCAGACGACGTACGAAGACATGATTCCTGAGTCGATGGCCGCGTAACATCGAGCTTCCAAGCAGCTTCAATGGGCTTAATTAAGGGGGCAAATAGGAGCGAAGACGATAGCGAAGGACCCTGATGAGTCAAAACTCCAGGAGACGTGCAACCCGGACCATCCCTCCTTGCCTCCTTGTCCCACTTATCAATGTTTCGAGGTGAGAGTACTCGCGTTGGTGTGGGGCTGATGAGGAGAACGGCACGAGAGAAGCTCCTGCGCCGCATGCGCGATCCGTGAGATACACGACTCTCACCGACGTGTCACGAGCCCTCTTGGCCCAGGCCGCAGGCGCTACATACATGTGCATGTGCATGCACATGCACATGTGCATGCAGGGGGTGTTGCAGATTGCGATTGGCGCAGGGGGTCTGTGGGTCTGGGATGCGTAGGGGGCTTCGTGCATATCCATAACAGCACGTTATCCTTGAATGACCCTCGTCGCAATGCTTGGGCGCACAACATGTAGTCTCCCGCGTGCGGAACGCTCAGCAGAGGCTCAGAGCCGGTAGGGGCAGTTCGCGAACTGGCAGTCAGCGGCCCTAGCCCCTAGCGCCCTTAGGCGGAGGTTGTCAGAACCGCCAGAAATTCCTACGCACACATATACAGAGTCGTACTGCACACACGTTTTATATCACAAATCGGAAAGAAATGGCATGGGCTAGGGGTCGGGGGAGGGGAAACAAATAAATAAAAACGGACACCTCTCTAGACTCTACTGTGAGATGGCCATGGCCATACTTGACCCCTATACGGCTTTACGTAACGTTACGACACCCCCTCTCAGTTTCTCTCTGCTTCCGCGTTCCGGGTTCCGCTCCCCTCGCCCCCCTCCCATCGTCCCAACATCTCTGGCAGAGGCCGCGCTCGGCGCTGAGCTGGTGAGTGGTGACGAGGACGAGACACCATCGAGCGCAAAACCTTTATTCCACGCGCGCCGGCCGCCTCTTCTGCTGCCACGCCTGCTCTATTTATTTATTTATGAGTCCAGACCTCTACCCCAGCCGCTCCAGCAGCCCCCCGATCTTCTTGATCACCCGCGCCACCTCCTCGTCGCTCGGCCGCGCACCCGCGCTCCATTGGCCTCGCTCGTGCCTGCACGCATTGTACCAGCGCCGCAGGGTGTGCGCGGAGTCGCAGAGCGGCCCGGCGCTGCGCGGCGCGAACGCGTTGATCTTCTCCTCCTCGCTGCAGCCCTTGGGCAACGGCGCGCCTCCCCGCTGCTCATGCCGCCGCTCGAGCTGCCCCATCATAGCCAGGTATGCCGTGCTGATCCGTTCCTGCAGCCGCGCCAAGGACATGTCGCCACCGCCCGCCACAGCGACCTTTGCCAGTCCGCCGACCGCGCGCGTCAGAGAGCCCGGCGCAGAGGTAGAGCCGCCCCCAGACGACGACGAAGCGCTGCCTGAGGCACCGCTGGCCGAGGCCCCGCTAGATGTGGCGCCAGCCGACGATGTCGGTCTTTCGGCCGTAGCCGGCGCCGCCGCGGCCGCTGCTCCCGCATCTGCGCCGCCGCCGAAGCGCAGCGCCGCCTCGAACGCCGCCAGCGCCTCTGGCAGAGGCAGGCGTCGCACCTTACGCTCGTAGACGAGCCCGTGCAGAGCCATGACCAGCTCTCGCGTCGCCTCCTCAGGCCAACCGGCCGCCTGCCGCGCCGCCCGCAGCAGCCCGCCGCCGGCGCCCTCCTTGCCGTCCACCATGTCCCAGATGTCCTCCTCGTGGACGCTCTTGAGGCCGCTGGGCTCGCCGCCCGTCAACGCCATCAACAGCGAGATGCCGATCCCGTACGCGTCCGTCTTGGCCGAGTGCTGGTTCGAGTCGAGGAAGTTCGGGTCCGCAAACCCGGTCGAGTATATGGTGCTTGTAGCATTGGTCGCCACGGTCATAGACCCGCCCGCCCGCTCCTTGGCGAGACCGACGTCGGACAGGAAGGCGCGGTAGACGCGCCTAAGGAGTGGAGCTCTCGAGCGATCTAGAGCAATCTAGGGCAATCTCGGGTGATCTCGGGGTAGACGCGCCTCTCGCCCCCCGCCGTCTGCAGCGGCAGCAGCGCGCCGTCGAGCAGGATGTTGGCCGTCTTCACGTCGCGGTGGAGAATGAGGTTTGAGTGGAGGTGCACCAGCGCCCGCGCCGCGTCGCACAGAGCCGACAGTCGTTGCGACCACGACAGCCCCGGAGTGCCTTTGAAGCCGAGCTGCTGCAGTCGCGCCCGCGCGTCGGGTGAGAGCAGGAGGTGGTCGTCGAGCGAACCGCCTCGCATGAGCGCCGTCACGATGCCAGCCGCCTGGGGCGAGCCGCAATACCCGAGCAGCGGCAGCACGTCCCGATGCGCGCACCTCCGCAAGTTGGACACCTCGTCCAACACCTTCGGAGCATCCACCCCAGACAAGGCTCGCTTGACGGCGACGCGGCCCCAGCCTGGTAGCGAGGGCAGCTCCACGGCATAAACAACGCCAAAGCCGCCGCGCCCAACCTCTACCGCCGCCTCGAGCGCGCCGAGCACCTACACAAGCGCGCCAGCCGGGTGGGGAGGTGCAGTGAGGGAACGGCTCCTGCATCAACTCACACACCTCGTCGGCGCCCAGCTCCACCGGAGCCGGAGGGTTCTCTGCCGCCTCTCGCGCCTTGGCCATCTGCCGGTTGGCCTCGGTCGCCTCTCGCCGCCTCACGTCCTTGGCCGCTTTTGCCGCCTCCCGCTGCTCCTGCTTTGCCCGTTCCTCGAACCGGGCTCGCTCTCGCGCCGCCTCTGCATCAGCGTCCGCCTCCAGCGCCGGCGCTGGCGCCGCCACATCCCTTCCCCGCCTTCGTGACCGCCCGCGCTGCTGGCCGCGCGCCGGCTCCGCTGCTCTCGCACCGCCTCGCAGCCGAGCAGTTGCCCAAAGCGTCATGTGGATGAAGGAGGCCCAGAAGAAGAACACACAGGCGAGCGTGTTTGCCGATGGGGGCGTGCCGACGGGAGCGTGTTTGCCGATGGGAAGCTTACGTACGATGAGCATGAAGTAGTTACAAAAGAGGACGACGTTCGCGAGTGGGACGTGCAAGCAGGATGCAAGTATGCCTGCCTCCACCACTGCTATGACGTTGCCTTCCACCGCAGTGCAGAACAAAGACATGAGCGCAGCGGCGAGCAAAGTGACGAAATGCTGCTTCAGCAGCTCGCACGCCGACAGGAGGCAGCCAGCTGCAGCAGCTAGCATCGCCTGAAGCAGGCGCATGTCGGAAGACAGCAGGGCCACGACGCGCTCTCCCGTCCGCTGGCGCCTTTGCGAGCGCCTCCGACCCTGAGAGAGTCGCCGAAGGATGTTCAAAGCATAGATCACAACGAGCGCTCCACCATACGACAGTAACCGGTCCATCACAGACCACTCCATGCGGTGCTCCTCGAAGGCCTGTAAGCTCTCCTTGTGACCCCTCCTCTCGGCCATCTGTTGCGCTGTATTGCCTGATTTCGCACCGCGCGCCGTCGTGTCCGCGCCCGCCCGCAGCAGCTTGCGTACAATGGTGTGGTAGTTGAGACTTGCGGCGATCATCAACGGAGTGAAGCCGTCTCTGCCGCGGAGTGAAACCTGCAGGTCGACCTCCGCGCCGTGTCTTATCAGCGAGTCGACCACGCGCTCATGGCCCTTCATGGTGGCCCGCAACAGTGCGCTCTGGTTGATCTTGTCCAGAAGGTTTGCCTGCGCCCCGCGCTGCAGCAGCAAGTTGACGGTGGTCAACTTGCCGTTGATGGCGGCTATCATCAGGGCAGCGCCGCCGCTGCTGTCCTGATGGTCGATCTCAGCACCGTGCCGCAGCAGCGTCTCAACAGTCTGATCGTGGCCTGCTGAAGCGGCGGCCAACAGCGCAGTGCCGTTGCCTGCGTGCTTCGAGGAAGGGGGTGGTCGTCGTTGCTGGTCGACCTCCGCGCCGTGCCGCAGCAGGATGTCAGCCACTTGCGCATGGCCCGCGCGAGCGGCGTGAGTTAACGCGGTGCTGCCGTCGATGTCGTCCTGCAAGGCGATCTCTGCACCGCGTTGCAGCAGCACGTCGGTCGCCCGCTCGCGACCCTCCTGGGCGGCATACATCAGCGCGGTGCCGCCTTCGCTGTCCCGCTGGTTGATCCCTGCGCCGCGCTCCAGCAGCAAGTCGATCATCCGCTCGTCGCCGTTCGATGCGGCGATCATAAGCAGCGCAATATCTTTCACATAGCTGTCCGATGGGAACGTCGCGTTGACGTGCCCCCCATCGTCGAGCCACGCCATCACGGTGTCCACGTCGCCTCCTGCAAACGCCAACGCGATCTGCTCATTGACTTGGACGGTCGACTCGCCGCTCGCAACCTCGAGGTGCCTTTTAAAGGCGGCAACACACCCACTGTGGCCCTTCTCATTGGCCAAGCCCTCATTGACCCGGCCACCACCGTTGAGCCACGCCAGAACCGCTTCTGCATCGCCGAGGAAAGCCGACTGCAAAATACCAGCCGACGGCACTGCAATCGTTTCCGTGGCCTCGGCAGGTTGAACTCCGCCCGCAGTGGCTAGGCACACGAGGAGTAAAGCTGGCCGCAGCATATACACCAAACGAGGCCCATGTACCTCCAAAAAAAACTGTTTGTTTTCATAACATCGAAGGCTAAGCTCAAAAAAACTGGAAAAACTGCTAATGCACGGGCAAGTATGTGTGTATCGACGGTGAAGAACAGCCAGGCTCGGACTGGACACCAACGGGGTGTGGGTGGACGCGAGCACCCGCACGCGCCTTCCCTTGTGTACACTTCAGCGATATATGAAATGAACTCGGGGGCGAAATTTTATTTTATCGACACTAGGGCGCGCGGCGCCCGCACGAGGAGTGTTTTTTATCACACGAAGTCGGCATCAGGTTCGGCATATTACTGTCGGACGTGCTGCGATCTTGATCGACGGCCCCCCCAGGTGACAACTCGTCTCAGAGTTTGACCGTCTCAGGGCCTTGGACACTCACTGGGTCAAGAGCACACATGCCCTCACAAGGCGCACACAAGGCTCGACGAAAGCGCGTTGCGAACACGAAGCTCGCGCCTTTTTATTATTAGCCACTTCACAGCGCCGCGCCGTACCGGATGCGGGGCGCGAGGCCGAGGGCGGCGAGGACGGCCTGTCCCATGCGGAGCAGCAGCACGCCGAGCAGGCGGCCGGCACCGCGGGCGGCGGAGGGCGCACACAGCGCCGCGTGCAGCGCGTCGAGGAGGAGGGGCGGCGGCGCCTTGGCCGCGTCCATGAAGGGCGCCGTCGAGAGGGGCGGCCCGCGCACGACCGACTTGAAGGCGTGCGCGACGCCAAACGCGTTGCCGATCCGCCCGAGGCCCGAGCGAGGCCCGTCCTGCGTGGGGCGGGCGTCCACAGGAGGGCCGTCAGCGCACAGCCGCGCCAAGCGAAGCGCCGCCGGCGCGCGCGAGGGTCCCTCTCATCCGCGCACACCGGGTGGGCGCCCCACGTGCCTCCGCGGCAGGAGGCCATGTAGCCGAGCACCGACCAGGCGTTGACGCCGACGGCGCCATACTTGAGGGCGGCGACCGCAGCGTTGACGCTCTGCGCCGGCGCGGAGGCCGGGGCGAGGATGGAGCAAGAGAGGGAGCCGAGGCACGCGTCCGAGTTGACAAAGGGGACCGCCGCGCCGCAGAGGTACTCGCCCGGGTCGGCGCCTGCGCCGGAGCGGAGGGCGGCGGTCGCGTGCGGGCTGCGGGCAGCTGGGTGGTGGGGGTCGTGGCGCGCTGCGGTGCGGGGCCTCGCGCGCCGCCGGGCAGCTGCACGACGGCGAGGGCCGGGCAAAAGGCCTCGGTGCGCAGCGCCGCCCCGTCGAAGCTCGCCTCGCCCGCCACGCCGCAGTCAAGGAGCAGCACCTACAGGGAGGAGGTCACCGAGGTCTAGCCCGGGTGTAGCCGAGACGTGACTCGAGTCCGACCGGCGGCACCTCGTCCTCGGCGGTGAGGCGCGTGTGCGGCAGGGAGGCGCCGACAACGGGCGAGGCGCGTGCGCCGTAGAGGGCGCCGAGGGCGGCGCGGCGCTTGTGGGCGCCGGGGTAGTAGGCCGGGACGGTTGGCTGCGCGGCGATCGTGGCGGTGAGGAGGGAGAGGAACTCACCGCGCTGCGGCCAGTCGCGCGCGACGACGACGACCTGCGCGCTGAGGCAGTTGCACCCCCCGTTCCCCTTTTTGGCCGTAGCAATCAGGGTGGCCGCGTGCCGCAGCTCCTCGCCGCTCCACGCGCCCGGCGAGACGAGCCACGGCGTGGCGCAGCCGAGCTCCGACGTGATGCCAACGTGCGGGCGGCCGGCGCGGTCGAGCGACGCGCGGACCGCGGTTGCAGTCTCCTCGCTGCCCGTCAGGTGGACATGCCCCACGAGCGGGTGCGTGCACAGCGCCGACGCCTCCTCGACGCCGCGGTCGAGCGTCACCGCGACGATATTGCGAGCGATGAGCGGCGCCAGGATGAGGAGGAGGGGCGGGCTTAGCCACGGGCGCAGCGGGTGCAACTTGAGCAGCACCGGCTCCGCGTGCTGGAGGCAGCGGCTCAGCACGTCCACCACGCCGAGGAAGGACTGGTTGCCGGCGCCGAGGACGAGGGTCACCGCGCCGTCCGACGGCTGCCGCTGCAGCGGCTGCGGCGGCGGCTGCGGCGGCGTTGCCTCGCGCACCGCGCCCGCCGGGTCGGCCCACAGCTCGGCGACGCAGCCGGGAGCGCCGGGCCCCAAACCGATGGGTCCGTACCGCGAGGAGCCGTCGGCGGCGTCCTCCTCCATCCGAGCGAGCGACTCGCGGCCAGAGGTTGCCGCAATGTAGGTCTTGAGCCAGTCACTCAGGATGCTGCCAAAGACAAAGCGCACAGTCGCGCCCGGCACCGCCCGGTCGGCCGCCGCGATGAGGTTCAGCTCGGTCTCGCGCGCGACCCAGTCGCCTGCGCGCGACCACTCGTCCTCGTGGACCTTGGAGAGCACCTCGGCTGCGAGAGCGACGCGCTGTACAGGAGAGGAGCGAGTGAGAGGAGAGAGAGGAGAGGAGAGCGAGTGAGAGGAGTGAGAGGAGAGGAGAGAGAGTGAGAGGAGAGAGAGGAGAGGAGAGAGTGAGAGGAGCGACCTCAGCCGCCGACAACTCCCTCCACGCCGGTGCAGCGGCGGAGAGGGTGGCGAGCTGCTCTTCGGCCATCGCCATTGCGCCATTGCTTCGGTTGTCACGAAGAAGTTCTCGGCCGGTTCTTCAACCTGTGGTATTCACGTAAACGCACAACCCCGGGCCCCGAAATCGCACAGTATTCACAGAAAAGCACCGGGCCCGAAAGCCAGCTCTATGTCGGCGCTTCCGCCCTCGTCGCCCGCCGGCCACTCCGCACTCGTACACGCGCGGGATCGCAAAAATGCGAATGCGCTCCAACTGGCCCAACTTCGGTGTCTTCGGTGTGGGTGGACTGCGACAAGGGGTATGGGAGGTTAAGTGCGCGGTAGGTGTCCCACGCAAGTGCGAAAGGAAAGGTTTTGGCGGTCAGCGACGATCGCCGCTAGGTGCTGATTGGCTGGGATGAGACCAAGTACGCTGCGGCGCGAACGGCGACCCCCTCGCGCACCCTGTATTGTTATTTTTTAACAGTAAGCAAGCAGCCCCTCTCCCCTAGGTTAGGTTAGCCACCCGAAGAGAGAGGCGAGAGGTACAGGTCACGGCACGCAGTGTGGTCACGGCACAGTGGTACTTGCGCGAGTGGCACGCGTCGTGAGAGCAAGTACAGTCGCCGGTCGCGAGGCGAGGCTCGTCATCAAGCCGTCAGCGCACACCGGCCATTGGATGCTTGGCCTCAGTACCACTTAGCGACGCCGGTCTCGAGCTTGAAGTCGATCTTGGCGAGGGTCCGCTCCGGGTGGCGTGTACCCTCGCGTATCCACTGGCGGACGCGCCGGTTGGCCTCGCGGAGGAAGCGCGCGGATGGGCAGCCGCCCACGCAGGGCAGGCAGGTGCCCCCCAGGGTTTCGAGCGCTGTGGCATCGTAGTCCCCTCGCTCCTGATTATGAAACCATGGGGGTCCGCCATTCCAACGACCCCCAGCATAAGCATCATGGGGGTTCGCCAGTCGGCAGTCACAAGCCTGGTGGCAGCACACGGGGTTGGCACATGGCTGCAGCGTAGTGCTGACTCGCTCGGCGACCGCTAAGATCAGCGCCTTGCCCGCCGGCAGGTTTGCCGGGTCAGCCTCCGCCACTTCGCTCGCAAACGACTCCATTTTGCTCGCAAAAGATGCGGGTTGTAAGCCATCAAGATAGCCGTGAAGGATGGCATAGGCGATCGCGTCCTCGCGAGTCAAAGCAAGCCAGTACGCTCCGTTCCACGGGAAGTCCGATTCGAGCTCTTGAAAGAAGTCAGCTGCGGTCTTGTACCATTCTCGCGTGAATTCTCCGTCTGAGCAAAATAGCAGGCCTGAAAGCCTGAGGTACAGCTCGCCGCACTGTGGCCCGATGGCCACGCCGATACTGCCGATATCGTCGTCGTCGTCGTCGTCGTCATCATCGTCGCCGTCGTCCTTGTTCTTGAAGTCGCAATCGTCATCGTCGTCCTCCTCCTCGTCAGGCAGTAACGCATCGGCTCGCATTGGGAGTGTGCGCAGGAAGACCTGCATCGCAGCGTCCACGTCCTTGTGCTTGATGTGCTTTCTGCGGCTATGCTCCGTGTGCGTTATGGCATGCTTCATCCATTCCGTGCCGCATTCTCCAAACTCAAAGTACCGCCCAGGATCATCTTCAGGATACGAGTCGACAAGCGGCTGATCGCCCACGAGCACGTGCAGCTTCTCGATCGCAGCAATCTCGATACTGATATCGGTCTTGAAGTCACAGGCTGTGCGAATGGCCGCAGAGTAGAAGACTGCGGGCGCAAAGCGAACGCCGCACAAGCGCGCGAGCCGATGGAAGGTGGTTTCCAGGTGTGGCACCGGCACGTCGCCGACCCGCATCTCGATGATGGCCGCGTCGGCGACGCTCGTGCATAGGATGCGGAAGCGCTTGCTCGCCTGCGAGACGAGCGTGAGGTGCCGTGCCGACAGCCAGCGCAGAACCAGGCACTGTTCGTCCTCCGAGAGAATGCTCTCGAGCAGCAGGCTGCCGGGAGCAGACATGACGCTGACCTCCTTGACGCCGAGGTGCGCGGCCATGTACTTCCCGCCAGTTTTTATGAGGGTTTTCGTGGATTCGGAGTTGCCCTGTTGGTGGAGGAGAGGTGGCGAGGAGTCAGTGAGCGAGTGGTGCGGGAGGAGGGGGAGGAAGAGCCTGTGGGGGGGAGGAAGGAAGAGTCGCGTGCGCTGCGCTGCGCGCGCTGCATGCGCGCGCCGCGTGTGTCATGGTGGGAGCTTGTCTCCACGTGTCGGGGGGGAGCTGACGAGCCAGCGCCGGCGGCGGGAGCGCTGGGCAGGGAGAACGTCGCTGGGGAGATTGTGTGATCGGGGCTGCGAGCGAGCGTTGGCGGGCATCTGGACTCGGGCGTCGGCGCCGTCGCACACACAAAAGAAAGGCGCGGCGACGGCGTGGTGGGTGAGAGGGCTGGTCGTAGTGAGGGGAGGGGGGTGAACGAGTCACGCACCATCATGGTTGGTGGCGAGGAGCGGCGGCGGAGAGCGGCTCGGTGGTTACGCTTGGCGCCGGCCGCCTGATGCTCGTGTGAGTCTGGCCCGACGACTCTCGACGTCTCGAGGTCCTCGAGGTGGATATCCTTTGGCCGCGTTGGGTAGCGAGGATTGGTGTAACCCGAGCCACGGAGGCGTGTTTTCTGACGGCCGACCGTCAGTGCCCACGACTGCACGGTGTGGGGACTGCGACAAGGGACAGAATTATTTTGTGGGGGGCAGAATTATTCTGTGGGGGGCAAGAATTTCTTTTTTGCCTGCAGCTGTGACGAACCTACCTACATCGACTGTGAGAGAAGCTGCTTTTGCGTAAAATATTAAATGAACTCGGGGGCACAGGACGCGGTACAAACGCGGTACACCAAAAGGCACGGGCTGCCTGCACGGCGTTCACTCGAACGCCATGCACATGGCGCGGAGCAGCCCCGGGTTGGTGTCGAACCCGAGCGGGTCCTCCTCCCAATCCCGGCGCCCACCCTCCGCGTCGTCCTGCTCATCGTGCGCGTCGAGCACCCTGCCGAGGCACAGGATCGTCCCCTTGGGAACGCCTGCCCCTCGCGCGCGTGGGAACTCTCCCTGCACCGCCATCACGAACTTCTCGCGCGCCCACTTGCCGCCACGGCGGCAGTGCTGGGGCGCGCGCTCGCGCAGCTCCTCGTAGAGCTCCTCGGCCCTCGCCACCTCCGCCGCCCAGCCCTCCGCCGACGCCTGAGCCGACTTCTTCTCCCTGAGCGTCTTGAACACCGGCGGCGGCGCCGGCGATGGCGCCACCTCCGGCTCGCCCGCCGCCTCTGCAGCGCGCCGCCCCTTCCTTGCCTTCTCCTTGAGCCGCTTCCTAGCGCTCTTGGTCAACGCCGGCGCCGCCGCCGCGGCCTCGCCGGCCGCCGCACCGGCGATGGATGTCGAGGATGATGAAGATGTGATGAAGCCGTTGTCGCGTTGCAAGCGGGGCGGAGAGTGTCGAACAAAGAAGTGACCCTGTCCGTTGTCGACAAGGGACCATCCGTTTCTTGTATTATTAACAACGAAGCTCGAAAGCTCTCAAAAAAGGTTTTCGAGGTCAGAAAAAAGAAGCTGTTTTTTCTTGCTCACGTCTCCGACGATCCTTGAGGCTCATACCAGTAGTTGACTGCGATCGTTGACTCGCGCGGCCCGTCTGCGCGCTGCGAGACGGCGTGCCACCACAGCGCCGGCAGGTAGAGCAGCTCGCCGGCGGACACCTCGACGCGCAGCGGCCGCACCTCGGCGGCGCTCCCCTCGTCCTCGAGGTCGACGGCGGACCACATCTCCTCCGAGGTGGGCTCGTCGAGCTCCGCCCGCAGCACGCCCCGCCCGGCCGCGGCCGCCGTCCTATCGGTCGCTGTGCCCTCGGCGGCGCCCTCGCGGTACGTTGCGGCCGGGTACGGCCGGCGACGCAGCGCGCGCCCCTCCTGCGGCGGCAGCAGCTCACAGCTAAGCAGGGCATGCATCATTGGAGCATTGGCCATGAACTAGCCCCTCCTGCGGCGGCAGCAGCGCGAAGCGCTTCCTGCCGCGGACCACCACGTACAAGTTGTCGAACAAGTCGGCGTGCACCTGAGGGAGGATGGCTGAATTATTAACTCAAGGATGGATGATTAATTAGAAAGGTAGACAACTACTGATTGGCGTGCACCTGAGGACGGATGGATTAATTATTGCCAGGTTTTTATTAATTTTCAACGAATGAACTACTCATTGGCGTGCACCTGAGGGCGGCATCACCCGTCAGTGTCATTCGTCAATCAAGACACGCAGCCTCGTCTCGCAGGTCGGCGTGCGCACCGTGGTGCGCGCCGCGTCCTCGCCCATCCAAAAGTTGGTCGCGGCGGGCGGGGCACCTAATCTCGGTCGATCTCGGGTGATCTCGCGTGATCTCGCCCATCCAAGACTTGGTTGCGGGGCGGGCGGTCCACCAAAGGCTGCGTCGGCCCACGCCAGAGACAGGTCGACGTCGCGCCTAAAGACACGACCGCTGGACAAATCCAGACGCCGTGTCGCACCCACACACCCTGCGGCAAGTCGATGCCGCGCCAGAGCGGCTCGAACTCGGTACGCAAGCTCGAGTTCTGGTGCGAGGCGTATACCACCGGCCGCCCCGCGCGACGGTCGCCCGTCGCGCCGCAGCCGCCTCCCCCCGCGCCGCCGCCTCCTCCGCCTCTCCACGAGCCGTCGCTGCCGCCCTCTTCGCCGCCGCTGTCACCTTCAGCGCCGCCGCTGCGACCGTCAGCGCCGCCGCTGCGTCCGTCAGCGCCGCCGCCGCCTCGGGTCGCCGGCTGGAGGGGAGTCTCGATCAGGTCGACGAATGCGGAGAAGGGCATCTCCGCCTCGTGCGGCTTGACGAAGACCTGCTCGCCGGCAGGGCCGGGGCTTGGGGGGGGGGGGGGGGGGGGCTAAAGGGGAGGGGCTGGGGTTGGTTGGGCTGGGGTTAACCCTTCAAGGGTAACTCTCAGGGGGAAACTCAAAGGGGCTGAGGTCCTGCTCCCCGGAGGCCGTGCGTGTAAAGGCGTCCCCAAACCCGTCGGGGGGGCACCCCACGGGCACAAACTTGTCCCCAAGGGTTTTGCGCAAGTAGGGGGGGGACCTGATCAAAAACGACGTCGAAACTGAAGGAGTCTTCTACTTGACGGGGTGCGCGGGCGTACTAATTGGGGGGGACCAAAAACGCAACGCCGGCCAGTGCCCCACGCAGCCCGACAGCACCACCGGCTGCCTGCGCCGCCGCAGCGCGTCAAACTGCGCCGCCGCCAGGGCAGGGTCCCGCGGCCAGCTGGTCGCGTCGAGCCGCGGCACGCCTCCGGGACATGTCGTGGACATGTCGTGGACGTGTTCTGGACATGTCCGCGCGCGCGTCGAGCCGATGCACGCCACCGGCAGGGCGCGGGACGGGCGAGGAGAGGGCGAGACTGCAGAGCGGGTCCGCCTCCTCGCATGCCGGCGCCTCCTCTGCCGCCTCCGCCTCCTCGCATGCCGCCTCCTCCTCCGCCTCCTCCTCCTCCTCGCTGCCCGGCGCAGAGTGCTGCTGCTGCTGCAGCCGAGAGACGTGTCCTGCGTCCTCTCCGCCGTCGCCGGTGCCACTGCCACTGCACATCCGTGCGGCGCCGGTGGCGGTGCTTCTGAGAAGCGCACCGCGGCTCCGGAGGAGGGAGAGGTTCCTCGCCGCCGCGGCGGCGGAGGAGACCGCGCCGAGCCCCTCGCCCGCCACCCGCCTGCAGCAGGGGAGCAGTTTGGGAGCAGCAGGGGAGCAGCAGGGAAGCAGTTTGGGAGCAGCAGGGGAGCAGAAGATCTCGGCTAGATCTCGCCCGCCGTCCTCCCCGTGTCATATCTCGGCCAGATCTCGCCCAGATCTCGGCTAGATCTCGCCCGGCGTCCTCCCCGTGGACATGTCGGATGGCGCCCGACGCGGCCGCGGCGCCGCCGCTCGCCACCTCGCCCGCCGCCGAGTAGATCGCGTCCACCACCTCCGACGCAGCGCTCAGCGTCGCTCCCCCGACCGCGAGCAGCGCCTCGCGGGTCGGGTGACCGCTCGCCGCCTAAGGGAATTCAAACTTACCAATTGGAGCGCTACTCCACGCCCTCTACGCTGGGGTGCCGCCGCCCTAGCGAGTCGGGGCTTGGGCCTCGACTTGGCGTGAGCACCGCCAGTGTTGCCTTCCGACTGCCGTCGGACGTCGCTGTCTGTCTGCTCTCGACTGCCGTGTGCGTGATCTTGGGTCCGTGTCAGCCTGTGGGCTCAATCTAGCCGCAGCCCTGCGCAGCGCTGCGCCAGCCTCCGCCCCGACGGCCGACGCCACAACCGACACGCCCGCGCCGACGGCGCGCGTGAGGTCCTCCGCGACGCAAGCCGCGGCGCGCGCAGACTGCACGAGCTGCTCGGTCGAGCGCGAGACCGCCGTCGGCTGCGAGCGCGGCTCCACCTCCTCCTTGAAGGCGGCGAGCGCGCGCTCGAGGCCAGACGTGAGCCGCCCGGCGCCGTCGCGCACGGCTAGCGCCGCCCTCGCGCCGCCGTCTTCAATCGTGGAGGCGATCGCAGCCGCGCGCCGGGCCGCGGCTGGGTCGGCGGGCGGCTCGGGCGGCGGCGGCGGCAGCCCGAGCAGCCTTGCGAGCTCGTGGAACTCAGCAGCCGTACCGCGCATGCTCAGAGCCGTGTAGCCAACGTCCTCGGCTCCTGAGCTCAGCACCGCCAGCTCGCCGTGGCTCGACCACGCAAGGGTGCGCTGCTGCAGATCGATGACCCACGGCTCTGCGTCAAAGCCATCCTCACTGGGACGCGGAAAGAAGGAGAGCTTGCCGGCGGCCAGAATGAGCGCACCCTCTCCGCGAGGCGCGCGGCGGCCGCTGGCGTCGACCGCGACGCGCTGAGCGACGTCGATGCAGAGGACGGCCTGGACCATAATCGTCTCGACAACTCGCCAACGAGGAGACAGCTCCCGTCGCTCAGCAACCCTCGCGCTCCACAGTTTTCTGCGCCGTCAGTCAGTGCACCTGGGTTCCGGCTCCTACCCGGATAGGGGGTCTGCCGGCACTGACTCGCGCCAAAACGCCCTACCTACCTACCTATCCCCAGGCCGCGCAGCGAAGCGAAAAAAGATGAAAATATGGGGTACCTACCTATTGCAGGGCCCTTTTGGGCCAAACAAGACCTACCTACCTACCTATCTGGAAGGGGCCAGCCAGTGCCGACAGACCCCCTATCCGGGTAGGAGCCGGAACCCTGGGCGACCATGCAAAAAAAGAATTAGCTCGGAACGATAAACAGCCTGGCATCCAGCCATGCAAAAAAACGAAAGGAAGATCGTTCGTCTCTCTGTGGTCTCAGGGGAGAGAGAGGGAGAGAGTTGAGAGAGTGGAGAGGGAGGATTTTCCAACCCCTCGCACGACACTAGGCACGGGAAAAAGAACATTTAATCAAAAAGAAAAAAAACTCGCATCACACAGCAACACTCGCGCTCACCTGCATTTTCTAAAAAATCTGGGGGGCGGTGTGCCAGGTATGTGTCCCCCTTTGCGTTTGTTTCCTACCATCGAAGCTAACAGTGCGAGGCGTGAACCGCGCCATTCGCTCTCACCTGGCAACCCTGTCTGCACGTCTCGCGCGCGCGTGAACAGGGCGATATGTACAGCCTTGCCCTCACCGGCAACGGCGCTGTCAGGAGCTGGGGCGAGGGAGACGAGGGCAAGCTGGGCCACGGCGACCAGCAGGACCAGCTGCTGCCCTGCAAGAAGATCGAGGCCTTTGCTGGCCAGCGCGTCGTCGCTGTGTCGGCTGGAGCGTACCACAGCCTCGCCATCACCGCCGACGGCGCCCTCTGGAGCTGGGGCTATGGATACCGTGGCCGGCTGGGCCACGGCGACGAGCAGGAACAGCTGCTGCCAAAGAAGATGGCGTCCTTGGCGGGGAAGCGCGTCGTCACTATCTCGGCGGGATTCGCGCACAACCTCTCGCCCTCAGCGCCCCGACGGCGCCGTCTGGAGCTGGGGAGGTGGAGGCTTTGGCCGGCTTGGCCACGGCGACCAGCAGGACCAGCTGCTGCGCTGTCTGGAGCTGGGGCTATGGAGCCTATGGCCGGTTGGGCCACGGCGACGAGCAGAACCAGCCGCTGCCCAAGAAGGTCGAGGCCTTCGCTGGGCAGCGCATTGTTGCTGTCTCGGCTGAGGCCATGCACAGCCTCGCCCTCACCGCCGGCGCCGTGTTTACCTGGGGCAAGGCAAGACCGGCTGCCTAGGCCACGGAGAGGACCTGTCGAATCAGATGCTGCCCAAAAAGGTCGAGCAGTGGGCGCCGGGGCAGTGATGAGAAGGGCGAAAGGTTGCAAGGTCCTGTGTTGCCGGAGCGCCGTATCGATCACGGTTGGAGCCTCTCTTGGTCCCAGCACCCAGGCCGTGCCACGGCCGACTTAGCCGATGTAAGAGGCTCCCGCTGATCTTAGACCGCGCAAGCACCCCAGCGTGCCATGGCACACTTAGACCCGCTAGGCGTCGAGGCTCAGAACTCTTAGAGACTACTAGGGCTACTAGTAGTACTAAACTACAGGTAGTACTACTAAAGCCGTACGGCTCTACGTACCCACAACCAGTGTCGGAATTGTGTGATGTGTCGTGAGACGTGACGTGATGGCAATGTGGGCCGCGCCGGCGGACGTTTTTTTTGCTCTCGAAAACGAAAACGTTGGAGTTCATCGCTGATCACACAGGGCGCGGGGCGAGCCACATCATCACTGGCTCGCGGCAATACGGGCACTCTCGCATCAGCTCGGAGCATGGACCGCAGACGCACAAGTGGCTGCACGGCACCGCGAGGTGAGACTTCGGCCGCTCGAAGCATATGATGCACGACGTCTCGCCTCCCATGGTGGACTCGGGGGCAGCCGGCCGCCCCGTGTCGAGGCCGGCGTCCGCTAGTGAGACGGCAGCAAACGGCTCGGTGACTGGCACGGGCTGCTCCGCCGCCTCTGGCCCGATCAAGCGCTCGATGGCGCTGATCCGCTCCTCGAAGCTACCCTCGGTCGCCGCGCCGAAGCTCGCCTCCAGCCGATCGACACGCCGCTGCAAGTCCCCGCCGCCGCCGGTCGACTCGCTGCTCACCGCTTCCTCGCACCGCGACACCCGACGCGCCAGCGCCTCCTCCTCCGCATCCGCCTCTGACCGGCGCAACGCCTCTGCTAGCTCCGCAGCTTCTCGCAGCGCTGCCCGCTCCGCCGCGCCCGCTCGCTCTGCCGCCTCGCGCTCCGCTCGCCTCGCCGCCTCCTGCTCAGCAGCCAGCCGCACCGCCCTCTCCTCCTGATCGCGAAGCTCTGCCGCAGCCTTCGCCCTCCGCTCCTCCTCGAGCTTGCAGGCGGACGGCGCCTTCTTGGCCTCCTTGTTCTTCGCCTTGCCCTCCTTCCTAACCGCTTTCTTCTCGGCCGCCTTTGCGCGCCGCCTCGCCTTCTCCTCCTCCGCCCTCCTGTCCGCAGCCTCCTTCTCGCGCCGCTCCGCCTCTGCTTTAGCCGCCTTGCGCGCCGCCGCCGCCGCCCGCTGCTCCTCTCGCCGCTCTTCCTCAGCCGCAAGCTTCTCCGCCTCTCTCGCCCGCAGCGTCTCCTCTGCTGCCGCGCGCTCAGCGGCCAGCTTCGCCTCTGCCTCCGCCGCAATCGCTCGCCTCTGCTCCTCCAGCGCCGCCGCATTCGCCGCCCGGCGCACCTCTTCCGCCGCCCGCTCTGCTTCGCGTTGTCGTGCCGCCTGCTCGCGCTCTCGCGCCGCCGCCTCCGCCTCCCGCTCGCGCTGCTCGCGCCGCCCCTTGACCTCGAGCGCCTTCTCTGCAGCCTTCTCCGCCGCCTCCGCCTCTCTCATTGCTGCTGTGAGAGCGCGCACGCACCCGGCGTGGTCCTTTGGAGGAGCACTGGCGGCCTCGGCAGTCGCAGGCTTGGCCTCTTCCTTCTTGGCGAGCTGCAGCGCGGACCAGCCGTCCGCATGGCGAGCCTTCGTATCCGCGCCAGCCTGCAGCAGGCAGAGCACGACGGGGAGGTGGCCGGTGGCGGCGGCGCCCATCAGCGCGGTGAAGCCGTCGCTCTGCTGCACGTTGACCTCCGCGCCGCGCCGAAGCAGCAGCTCGACCACTCGCTCGTGGCCGTTGCCAGCGGCGGTCATCAGCGCGGTGAGGCCGATGCTGTCCTGCAGGTTGACATCCGCGCCGCGCTGAAGCAGCAGCTCGACCACCCGCTCGTGGCCCTCCTGGGCGGCGACCATCAGCGCGGTGGTGCCTCTGCTGTCCTGCAGGTTGATCTCCGCCCCACGCTGAAGCATCAGCTCGACCACCCGCTCGTGGCCGTAGTTGGCGGCGCCCATCAGCGCGGTCCAGCCGTTGCTGCCCTGCTCGTTGATCTCCGCGCCACGCCGCAGCAGTAGCTCGACCATCCGCTCGTGGCCACTGCGGGCGGCGCCCATCAGCGCAGTGCGGCCGATGCTGTCCTGCTCGCACACCTCCGCGCCGCGCTCCAGCAGCTTCTCGACCACCCGCTCGTGGCCCTCCTGGGCGGCGAACATCAGCGCGGTGAGGCCGTGGCTGTCCTGCAGGTTGACATCCGCGCCGTGCTGAAGCAGCAGCTCGATCGCCCGCTCGTGACCGCTGGCGGTGGCGAGCCTGGCGGCGGCGAGCCTCAGCGCGGTGTGGCCTTTGCCGTCCTGCTTGTTGATCTCCGCGCCGCGCTGAAGCAGCAGCTCGACCACCCGCTCGTGGCCGTCGATGGCGGCGAGCATCAGCGCGGTGAAGCCGTCGCTCTTCTGCTTGTTGATCTCCGCGCCGCGCTGCAGCAGCAGCTCAACCACCCGTTCGTGGCCTTGGCCGGCGGCGGCCATCAACGCGGTGCCGCCGTTGCTCCTCTGCAGGCTGAGCTCAGCGCCATGCTGCAGCAACAGCTCCACCACCA